TTTCGCTCTTGTTACCCAGGCTGGAGTGCAATGGCGTGATCTCGGCTCACCGCAACCTTCGCCTCCTGGATTCAAGCAATTTTCCTTCCTCAGCCTCCTGAGTAGCTGGGATTACAGGCACGAGCCACCATGCCCAGCTAATTTTTTGTATTTTTAGTAGAGACGGGGTTTCACCATGTTGACCAGGATGGTCTCGATCTCTCGACCTCGTGATCCACCCGCCTCGGCCTCCCAAAGTGCTGGGATTACAGGCTTGAGCCACCGCGCCCGGCTACATGAGGTGTTTTGATACAGGCATACACTGTGAAATAAACACATCATGGAAAATGGGATATCCATCCCTTCAAGCATATATCCTTTGAGTTAGAAACCATCCAATTATACTCCTTATCTAAAAATGTACAGTTAAGTTTTTATTGACTATAGTCACCCTGTTATATCAATAGTAGTTCTTATCCATTCTTTTTAATCAGGAGGCATTAGAAAAAAAGAAGAAGAAAACAAAATAAACATAGGCCCTTAAATAAAAGTGAATGAACAAGAGTTTTCACAGCCACTTTGAAGGGAGAGTTTGCATGATGGCAAAGGCGTGCCAGGAAATGCACCAATGCACTTTTATTAGCAAGTGTGGGACCAGATGTTAGTTGAGATGTCTGTTCTTTGAAAATCAGATGAGATTTTCTTGAACTCCATCTAATTTGTTTTTGGACAAATTCATTCCCTCTCCCCCTTTTCCCTTCGCCTTTCCTTTCTTTCCCCTCTCCCCTCTCCCTTCTCGCCTGTAGAGCAGAAGATGCAAAGAACAAAGTTTCTAGAGAAAAAATGATTGGAGGTAATACCTGGGGAGGTGGGCTGCAATTTAATTTGTATTAGTCCATTTTCACGCTCCCAATAAAGACATACCCAAGACTGGGTAGTTTATAAAGAAAAAGAGGTTTAAGGGACTCACAGTTCCATGCGGCTGGGAAGGCCTTACAATCACGGCAGAAGGCAGAAGGTGAAAAGCACATTTTATTTGGTGGCAGGCAAGAGAGAGAAAGAGAATCAAGTGAAAGGGATTTCCCTTTCTAAAACCATCTGTTCTCAATCTTGTGAGACTTAACTACTACAAGAATAGTATGGAGACAGCTGCCCCCATGATTCAATGATCTCTCACTGGGTCACTCCCACAACATGTGGGAATTATGGAAGCTGCAATTCAAGATGAGATTTGGATGGGGACACAGCCAAACGATATCAGAATTCAAAAGAACAAGGAAAGAGTTTTCAATGTATTAGGGAAAAACCCCATAAAAAGCAGTGTTTCAAAAGTCAAAGGGAAAGAAATTTTGGAGGATAGGTTGATGAAGGTCAAAAATCTTAAGTAGAGGTTACAGTGGCCCATGCATGTAATTTCATACTCTGGCATACCTGTAATTTTATACTCTGGGAGTTCAAGGCAGGAGGATCCCTTGAGCCCAGGAATGCAAGACCAGCCTGAGCAACATAACAAGACCCTGTCTCTACAGAAAATTTTAAAAAATTAGCTGGGTGTAGTGGTATGCACCTGTAGACCTAGCTGCTCAGGAGGCTGATGTGGGAGGATCACTTGAGCCCAGGAATTTGTGTTTGCAGGGAGCTATGATTGTGCCACTGCACTCTAGCCTGGGCAACAGAGCAAGACTGTCTCAAAACAAAACAAAGCAAATCTTTTTTCTTTTTTTTTTGAGACAGAGTTTCACTCTTGTTGCCCAGGCTGGAGTGCTGTGATGTAATATTGGCTCACCACAACCTCTGCCTCCTGGGTTCAGGTGATTCTCCTGCCTCAGCCTCCCGAGTAGCTGGGATTACAGGTGTGTGCCACCATGCCCAGCCACATTTTTTAGTATTTTTAGTAGAGACAGGGTTTCTCCATGTTGGTCAGGCTGGTCTCAAACTCCTCACCTCAAATGATACACCCCCTCGGCTTCCCAAAGTGCTGGCATTAAAGGCATGAGCTATTGCACCCGGCTTTTAAAGCAAATCTTAAATAGAATAAAATTGATAGCTATGTTTTAGATTAGAAGGAGACAGGATTTAGAGTAGCTATTAATAGAGGTGACATTTTATCTTGAAATAATATTGAATGAACTAGGAGTAAAAATGTTATCAAGCAAATGGGCTCACTGTCCATTGCACAAAAAAGCCAGTAACTATGGCACCTGCCTTTGAGAAAAGAAAGGCTTTATTGCAAGTGGTCAGCAAGGAGACAGGAGTGGGCTCAAGTCTGTCTCCCTGATTTGGGTTCTAGGGCTAATTTTAAGGGATCCGAGAGCAAGGGAAAAGATTTTGGAATGTTGGCTTGGCAGGGTCTGATTGGAGGGCTTCAAATTGTACCATTTAAGGTAAGGTACTGTTATAGAATTGAACTGCGGTCCACTTGCCTGGCTCAGGAAGACAAGACATCCACACTGTGTTTTTGCAGCTGTAGGAATTGGGGCAGCTCATACATAAAACCCAAACTCCCTGATGGCTTGCAGGTAAGGATTTTTAAAGACAGGGGTAAATTTCAGGAAAGCAGAAATACAGGCTAAGTAGTCAATTAATACATGGAGTCTATGCATTGTTCTGACCAAAATGGTGAGGCATCTCAAAGGGTGGGGGAGGGGGGCTTGTGGAAGAGGTCATAGATGAATTAAAAGGTTTTCTGATTTGCAGTTAATTCAGGAGGTGAAGCTTTGTCTAAAAATTTGGGGAGCTGAGTGTGGTAGTGTGTGCCTGTAATCTCAAAATTTTTCCCTTTGACTTGGGAGGCTGAGTGAGAGGATGGCTTGAGCCCAGGAGTTTGAGACCAGCCTGGGCAACATAGTGAGACTCCATCTCAATTTTTAAAAATTAAAAAATAAAAATTTGGGATCAGCAGAAAAGAATGCTAGCTCTGCTTGTGTGTGCGACCTCCTTCAGGCCCGTCAGGAATAAATTTAGAACAAATGAGGCAACAGAGTGCCAGCAGATGTGTTTGGTGGGGCTTGGGGTTTCTAAAAAACAACTCAGAGACATATGTTAAGATATTATTTTTAGTTTTTATAGAGGAACCAAACATCTGACTCTAACTTCCTTGGCTGTTGTTTTAGGCTACTATTACCTTCTTCTTTATCAAGTTGCTTATTTGCTTCTCAGGGCTAGCTAGGTTCCTAGAATTTCCTTTGAAGAACTCGAGATTTTCCTTTATTCCCATGGTTGGAGGGCCCACAGGCCCCTAGAGAAGGAGGGTCCCCCTGCTCCATCTCAGTATGAAGTTTTGTTTTGTTTTGTTTTGTTTTTTGAGACGGAGTTTCGCTCTTGTTACCCCGGCTGGAGTGCAATGGCGCGATCTCAGCTCACCGCAACCTCCGCCTCCTGGGTTCAGGCAATTCTCCTGCTTCAGCCTCCTGAGTAGCTGGGATTACAGGCACGTGCCACCATGCCCAGCTAATTTTTTGTATCTTTAGTAGAGACGGGGTTTCACCATGTTGACCAGGATGGTCTTGATCTCTCGACCTTGTGATCCACCTGCCTCGGCCTCCCAAAGTGCTGGGATTATAGGCTTGAGCCACCGTGCCCGGCCGTTTTTTTTTTTTTTTTTTTTTTTGAGACAGAGTTTTGCTCTTGTTACCCAGGCTGGAGTGCAATGGTGCGATCTTGGCTCACCGCAACCTCCACTTCCTGGGTTCAGGCAATTCTCCTGCCTCAGACTCCTGAGTAGCTGGGATTACAGGCACGCACCACCATGCCCAGCTAATTTTTTGTATTTTTAGTAGAGACGGGGTTTCACCATGTTGACCAGGATGGTCTCGATCTCTTGACCTTGTGATCCACCCGCCTCGGCCTCCCAAAGTGCTGGGATTACAGGCTTGAGCCACCGCTCCCGGCTTTCTTTTTTTTTACGAAGTCTTACTTTCGCCCAAGCTGGAGTGCCGTGGCGCTATCTCGGCTCACTGCAACCTCTGCCGACTGGGTTCAAGCGGTTCTCCGGCTTCAGACTCTCGAGTAGCTGGGATTACAGGTGCCTGCAACCACGGTCAGTTAATTTTTGTATTTTTAGTAGAGACGGGGGTTTCACCATCTTGACCAGGCTGATCTTGAACTCCTGACCTCGTGATCCACCCGCCTTGGCCTCCCAAAGTGCTGGGATTACAGGCATGAGTCACTGTGCCCAGCCGGTAAATTCTTAAATTTTGCAGACACAATCATACAAAGTTGTGAGAGTCAAAATGAAGGAAACAGGTGATTACATGACAGGTATATTTAATGCCATAAATCCTAAGAAATTAGAGGTGGTAAAGAGGGCCCTGGAGAGGGAGATAAAGGAAATAGCTGAAAAGGAATGCAGATAAGAAAAGGAGGAGTTGAAAGCTGAAATGAAACCCAGGGACAAGAAAAGCCCCGCTCCTTCCTTCAGTGCCCACTCAAATGAATGAATGCTGCTTGGTTCCCTAAATCTTCCCTTCTGCTGGCCACTCTGCCTGGTCCATCACTGCTTTCAGCTCTCCCTTATCCTAAACGGCTTTCTTCAACCCAGTCATAATCTTAATTTCCTGTTCCTTTTCTCACCCGTCCCACCCACAAAGGAGCCCTCCTCTGGGCCATTTCCGGGATTTTCACCGAAGGTGTGAGCCGCGTGCTGCCGGTGGGGCGAGGCTGGCTCTATAGAAATGTTTCTGACATCCTTGTGCGGATACGCACAAGTCTCCACCTACAGGATCACGGGTTTGGGGAGCGCAATCACAGCAGCCAGCGTGGGAAGGCGCCGTATTATAACTGTAATTGCGTAGTTTGGAACCATGAGCTCTGAGAGGAAACTGGGTCCTTCACGGCCGGCCGCCTAGCCCAATCTCACAGGATAGTTACAGGCTGAGTTCGGCAGCAGAACCCAGTTTCCTCCCGACAGAGGTTCAAATAAACGCTGACGGTGGCCGCAAGCCGGTCTTCACGAAAACAGAAAGCTGCGCCAAATCTCGCGCAGCGGGACTGGAGGGCAGGCGGGGAATTTAAGGTATCGCGAGATGACAGGATTTTCCCGCGAAGGAGAAGCGCGCTTTTTTTCCCTGGCGGGGGATTTGGCGAGGAGGCTGGGCCAGGAGCTGCTGTGAGATATTAGCTCGCTGCATTGCAGACTCTGAGAGGAGGGGACCCGGCTCCCGGGTGAGTGTCCAGGCATGCCAGCGGAACGGCCCGCGGGCAGCGGCGGTGAGTCAGGAGAACCTTCTTTCCGGTGCGGGCGGCGGCGTGAGGGGCTGAGGTGGGCAAGCATGGAGGCTGCGGCGGAGCTTAGGGGAGGGAGCCGACCCTGTGCCGGGACTCAGGAGGAAGAGAGGGTAGGGAAACTGCAACGGTGGGTGGAGGACACCCCGGAATCGCACACGTTAGCAAGCCGGAGCAGATTTCACACACGACACTTCATTTTCTGAGCATCTCGAGTTGTAAATTGGTCCAGGCAACTTGTAGACGTTGTGAAGACCTCGCGTGCCTGAGAGGTGATGCTGGCGTCCCCGGCGGCTTCGGCTTTTGCTCCAGTGCGTCTCGGGTGGGAGAAAGGCTGTGTAAATGTTGGCGTTGAGTAGTTAGTAATTTTTTTAAAACTGCAATTTGAAAGCCTTCTCCTCCTCAGGCTCACAAACTCCAGAAATGGTTGAACAATTAGACACTGCCGTGATTACCCCAGCCATGCTAGAAGAGGAAGAACAGCTCGAAGCTGCTGGACTAGAGAGAGAGCGGAAGATGCTGGAAAAGGTAATTTAGGCATCAGGTTCTCCGTCGTGAAAGCCGGTGGTATCCTCGGCTTTAACCCGGAGGTGTGGTTTGTGTTTTTTGCTTTCCTATTTGGTGGGCTTTTTCATAAACTTGAATGAACACAGCTTTGTTACTTGTCATTTTGTATGTCTGCAGATACTGCCTTTGAGAAGCCTTTCGCACCTGCTTTGTTGTGTTTCTGTGAGATGTAGTCTTGGTAGTCCCATCTCTTTTAAGTGATCGTTTCGTATTGCATGTTTAGCCATGAAAAGTCGAAGTCGATATTGATTTTTTTTTCCTTTGTCATCCTTATTTCCTTTGAAGATTGCCGTAAATGTACGTCTGATGGCAAACACGAATCGCTAAAACCTGCAGAAGTAATGTACTAGACTGAGGGCAGGAGAAGTTAGCATCAATCAAAGGCTGGGCTGGAATCCAAGTCTAATGATTACCTTTTAGTGTAGTGCTGTTTTCCACCTAAGTGATAAGCTTGCTGTTTGTTTTCCTTTTGGTTTCATGGCTTGTGTATTGCTGCATAAGATTCTTAAACTAAAAATGTGGTGTAGTTTTTCAATGACAAGTTGCTGTAGTTTTCTTGTAGAGAGTATTTTGTAGATAAGTAAAAGCAGTTTTTAACCTGAAATATTCTTGTTTAAACTTCCACCCTGCTGCTTGATTCATATGCAAGAAAAAGAATGATGGCTGACTCTTAATAGGTGGTTTTCTTGTGCTTTGTTAATTTATTAAACTTTACCGATTTTATGATAGAGGTTATTTTTTGATATCTCCATTTACAAATGAAGAAATTGAGGGAGAAGGGCACACAGTAAGTGTCGACACCTTGAACTTGGGCTACCTCCAGAATTTCTGTTCTTATTAATATTAACTCATAAAACTACTTAAGTTGGAAAATAATGCACCCCCAAAATAATGCACCCCCAAAAATAATGCAGCCCCAAAAGATAGAGGCTATTTTCTATCAACAATAAGTTTTTTGTCAGCATTGTTAATACTTCATGAACATTTATTATGAGGCATGCATTGTTTTGAATGCTTTGTATGTATTTACTGATTGAATCCTCAACTATTCTGTGAAGCAGATGCTCATTACTATTACTGCTATCAGACTTACTAGTTTAAGTAAGACTTTTAAATAGACTCTTTTAGATTTTACAGATGAGGAAACTGAGGCACAGGGAGGTTGTTTGGGTGCTACAGTAAGTAAATGGCAGAACAAACATTCCATTGTAGGCCATGTAGTTCTAGAATGCAAATTTTTAAACTACCATGGTATACTTTCACTCCAGTAATACTCGTTCTGTTATTACTGGTGATCTCTGGTTGACTATAACCAGTTAAGGTAGTACATTAACAAATTTTCTTTTAAGTCACACGGATACTTTTTGCTTCAGGGTAGATGTGAATTAATAGAATTGGAAGGTCTGACTTGAACTACCTTTTCCCATTCTTTGAATTTTCGTTGTACTTTATTACACAGAATTTACCATGATCAAATAAGTAATGATAAGTACTTCATATAACTTTTTGATTCTTCCTCACTTTGTTTCTTGAGGGTACATCACTTCCTGTTTCGTTTCTGTAGGCTTTGCACCTGGTACATAGTAGGCAATCAGTAAATGCTTATTGAATGGCTAATGATGATGAAATAGTATTTTATAATATACAAGATTATATACATATAATAAATATACTTATTAGGTATATAACAGGTGAATTGCAAAGTACAAATTCTGGGGCAAGTGCCCAGAATGGAATCAACTGAAGAGGTCTAAGAGGGATATGATAATTTTGTCTTGAGTAATGTGTCTTCAGGTTTATCTTGTTTCTTCATATACTCATGATGAGTGTTGGGTAGGGAAATGCATTTAAAGAAAGGTATGTCGGAAATATGACAAGAATACATTTTCAGAAGGCATTATTAGTTCAAGGGAAGAAATACTTCACATTTATAAAGATAAGTCAAGTATGTAGTATTGTATATATTTGCTGATGAGATAAACCAGGAGTCAAATGACCTGCTACTTTTTTTTTTTTTTTTTTTTGAGATGGAGTTTCACTTTTGTTACCCAGGCTGGAGTGCAATGGCGCGATCTCGGCTCACCGCAACCTCCACCTCCTGGGTTCAGGCAATTCTCCTGCCTCAGCCTCCTGAGTAGCTGGGTTTACAGGCACGTGCCGCCATGCCCAGCTAATTTTTTTGTATTTTTAGTAGAGACGGGGTTTCACCATGTTGACCAGGATGGTCTTTATCTCTTGACCTTGTGATCCACCCGCCTCGGCCTCCCAAAGTGCTGGGATTACAGGCTTGAGCCACCGCGCCCGGCGACCTGCTACTTTTAAGCTTATGAACAAACATTTTGCAGTCAGTCCTGAATTTAATAGTTAGGCATCATAGTAACTAAAGAGTAATTTTTAATCTTTGTTCAGTCCTTCCACTGAAAAAGTATATAGCTGTTTTCATGGCTGGGCGTGGTGGCTCACACTTGTCATCCCAACACTTTGGAAAGGCCGAGGTGGGTGGATCACCTGAGGTTAGGAGTTTGAGACCAGCTTGGCCAACGTGATGAAACCCCGTCTCTACTGAAAATACAAAAATTAGCCAGGCATGGTGGTGCATGCCTGTAGTCTCTGCATGCCAGGAGGCTGAGGCAGAAGAATTGCTTGAACTGCTGAGATAGCACCACTGCACTCCAGCTTGGGTGACAGAGTGAGACTCCCATCTCAAAAAAAAAATTATGTAGCTGTTTTCAATCATGTAAGTGTGTATGTAATTCGCTAAAACATTGGTCTTGTGGTTCCATGTTATTACATTATCTTGTTAGGTACAGATTAGGAAAGTTTTTGATTATTTTTTGCACTTGACCCTCCTAAAAAGTGATTGCCTAGGTGACACTAGAAAATTCTAAGAAACATTTTCAGAGTCTCTTCTTATTTGAGATTAACAAACAAGTCTTTGGGGGCTAAAGAATTCACTATGCAAAGATAGAGATTCCTTTTCTTTTGGGAGAATACAGTATTTATGGGCATGTATTTAGAAGTACTTAAGAGAGAAAGAGCTAGCTTAAGTTTCTTAATTAGAAGCATTTATTTGGCTTTAGGAAATCCTAAGGGTCTTGAGGAGCCTAGAAAATGACTTTGACATTCATTTGCTACCGTTATTTTCTTTGACTTTTCACATGCATTTTCCTTTAAAAGAAGTCATTGTTAGTCTAGGAGATTTGAATACCGATAATGCCTGTGAAGTGGAGGAGGGGGAAAGGTTGGAGTCAGGAGATTCCTTGGAGAGGTGAAATGATCATAATATGTGTAGGTTTAAATAGAACTCCTGCCACCACCCCCCCAGTAAAAAATCTGATACTGTTCCTGGGAGAGATAATGGGGTAGATAATGAGGAATTTCTACCCTCAGTGTCCATTGGCCTACTCATGTGGTGTAGTCAGGCACTTAACTGCTTTCAATAGATGGAGTTGCAGTTTACCATAAAATAATAATGAAATTGATAAATCAAAGAAAAAACAATGATAGAAATATTTTGAAATACAGAAGACCAAGTTTAAGGATTAATCACTTTTATGGTATTATTCTAATATTAATTGTATATTATTGTTCCATGATGGCATCTTAAAGGTTTAGTGATTTGTTGGGGTTTTTTTAAAAGAAAAAATTTTTTTTTCCCAGGACCACCAGGCAAGTATTTAGTTATTTTAAAAATATGTGCTGGCCAGGTGTGGTGCCTCATGCCTGTAATCCCAGAATTTTGGGAAGCTGAGGTGGGGCGGATCACTTGAGCCCAGGAGTTAAGACTAGCCTGGGCAACATGGTGGAACCCCATCTCTACGAAAAATTTAAAAATTGGCCAGCATGGATTTAAGTTAAATCCTGTACAGAATTTTATTTTAAGTTAAATATCTAAGTTATTTTAAGTTAAATATCTAAGTTATTTTAAGTTAAATATCTAAGTTAAATCTACATTATTTTAACTGAACTTAAATTTTAAAACTTAAAAATTTAAGAATCCATATATCACCTAAATAATTTTCATCTCCCTGTTTATAATATTCACCTCATCTTGCATATTGTAATCACAGTAGTATATTGGTTATAGTAAAAGAAGTGCTGTTCTAAAAGAACTTAAAATTGAGTTCAAGATGTTAAGAATTGTCTATGTTGGTGTGATTATGGGTGATTTATATATTTTTTGACATTTAATTTTCTGTAATGCATTACTTTTCTTAGGTTCCTTCTTAGAATCTTACTGTTGCCACTGATTTTGTAATACAAATATGTTTTGAGGCTGGTGCAGTGGCTCATGCCTATAATCCCAGCACTTTGGGAGGCTGAGGTGGGTGGATTACGAGGTCAGGAGTTCAAGACTAGCCTGGCTAACACGCTGAAACCCTCTCTCTACTAAAAATACTAAAAAAAATGGCTAGGCGTGGTGGCGGGTGATTGTAATCCCAGGTACTCGGGAGGCTGAGGCAGAGAATTGCTTGAACCATGGAGGTGGAGGTTGTAGTGAGCCGAGATTGTGCCACTGCACTCCAGCCTGGGCAACAAAGCAGGACTCCATCTCAAAAAAAAAGATACATTTTGAAAGAAACCGACAGTGATGATGTAATATCTAGGAAAATATAAGCCAGTATCAAATGATGTCTTAGAGATACTGACAAGCAGAAGCAGCGAAACTATCCAAGGGCTTGGACATCATTTAGAGTGTAAAAGTGAACTCATAGCCCCTATTTCAAACATACTTTAAACTCTCAGCTACTTTCCTCTAAGTTTAAACCACCAATTACTGGGGAAAGGGGCAGTTAGATTTTATTGGTTGACTTTGTTTTTGTGTTTTCATTGATACTTGTTGAAAAGTAGGGGAATTGGCTTAGTTGAAAAAGCAAAATACTAAAAATCTGCCACTAAACTCTTCAAGTCAACAGTTTGTCTAACCCAGGCATCCCCAAACTTTTTACACAGGGGGCCAGTTCACTGTCCCTCAGACCATTGGAGGGCCGCCACATACTGTGCTTCTCTCACTGACCACCAATGAAAGAGGTGCCCCTTCCTGAAGTGTGGGCGGAGGGCCGGATAAATGGCCTCAGGGGGCCGCATATGGCGTAGTTTGGGGACGCCTGGTCTAGACTGTATAAAATGAAAGATAGTGTACTACCTAATCTATAAAGATCTTTTTAAGATAGTTTACTACCTAATCTATAAAGGTCTTTTTAATTCTTTTTTTTTTTTGAGACGGAGTTTCGCTCTTGTTACCCAGGCTGGAGTGCAATGGCGCGATCTCAGCTCACCGCAACCTCCGCCTCCTGGGTTCAGGCAATTCTTCTGCCTCAGCCTCCTGAGTAGCTGGGATTACAGGCACGCGCCACCATGCCCAGCTAATGTTTTGTATTTTTAGTGGAGACGGGGTTTCACCATGTTGACCAGGATGGTCTCGATCTCTTGACCTCGTGATCCACCCGCCTCGGCCTCCCAAAGTGCTGGGATTACAGGCTTGAGCCACCGCGCCCGGCCCCAGGTCTTTTTAATTCTAAAGTTACTTAAGTGTGATTCTTAATGCTGTTGCTGAGGCCAGTGTTGCTTAATGCAGGAACTTTTACAGTAACTGGCAAAACTTGAGTTCTTCTGCTCTCATTTATCTATCCTTCAGACAGCTCAGATCTCATCCATTTCCTGAAGTCTGACTTCTCCAATTGTTGCAGTACATGTTTTTTGATTTACTAGGCTGGATTGATGTCACAAAATTGGTGATCTTGGTTGGGCATGGTGGCACATGCCTTTAATCCTAGTACTTTGGGAGGACATGGCAGACAAAACTCTTGAATTTAGGAGTTGAAGACCTGCTTGAGTAATATGGTGACACTCTATCTCTGTAAAAAAAAAAAAAAAAAAAAAATACAAAAATTAACAGGGCGTGGTGGCATCCGCCTGTAGTCCCAACTGTTTGGGAGACTGAAGTGGGAGGGTGTTTTGAGCATGAGATTTTGAGGCTGCAGTAATATACAATTGCACCACTGCACTCCAGCCTAGGCAACAGTGTGAGGCCCTGCCTTAAAAAAAAGGGATGTAGGGGTGCTAATCTTGGCTAGATATCTGTTTTGATTGTTAGGATGAACTGTATTGGTAGTAGTTTTCTAAAATGTGATATCCAAATTAACTTGTTTATTAATCTCAAATAGGGAGAGACTCTGAAAACTTTTTTTAGAATTTTCCAGTGTCACCTAGGCAATCACTTTTTATGAGGGTCAAATGCAAAAAATAATCAAAAATTTTCCTTTTCTGTACGTAACAAGACAGTGTAATAACAGAGAACCACAGCATCAGTGTTTTAGCCAATTACACACTTAATATTAAGATTGAAAACAGCTGTTCTCATTCTATTACCCAGGCTGGAGTGCAGTGGTGTCATCTCGGCTCACTGCAGCCTCCGCCTCCTGGGTTCAAGCATTTCTATTGCCTTGGCCTCCTGAGTAGCTGAGACTACAGGCATGCACGACAATGCCTGGCTAATTTTTGCATTTTTAGTAGAGAGAGGGGTCTCACTGTGTTGGCCAGGCTGGTCTCAAACTTCTGACTCCAGGTGATCCACTGGCCTTGCCTCCCAAAGTGCTGGGATTACAGGTGTAAGCCACCGTGCCCGGCCTCAGTTTTTAAATTCTAAAAATAGATGTTCTAATGTGGCCAGTGAGAGATTTTATTTTTGTAATTCTAATGTTCTTTCAAATAAAATGGTATGTAGAGATTTTTTTTTTTAATAGCATTTGATTGTTTAAAAAATGAAATTTGGCTGGGCGCGGTGGCTCATGCCTGTAATTTCAGCACTTTGGTAAGTGAAGGTGGGCAGATCACCTGAGATCAGGAGTTTGGGACCAGCATGACCAACATGGTGAAACCCCTTTCTACTAAAAGTACAAAAAATTAGCTGGGTGTCGTGGTGAGCGCTTGTTTTTTGTAAAAAAAAAAAAAAAAATCTTAAATTTAATTTGAATTAAAATTTTCTGCCTTTTAATTTTATATATGATTTGTTTTGTGTTTGAGATGGAGTCTTGCTCTCTCACTCAGGCTGGAATGCAGTGGCATGATTTTGGCTCACTGCAACCTCTGCCCCCTGAGTTCAAGCAATTCTCCTGCCTCAGCCTCCCGAGTAGCTGGGATTACAGGCACATGCCACTACTGCCCAGCTAATTTTTGTTTTTTCAGTAGAGTTGGGGTTTCATCATGTTGGCCAGGCTGGTCTTGAACTCCTGGCTTCAAGTGGTCTGCCCACCTTGGCCTCTCAAAATGGTGAGATTACAGGCGTGAACCACTGTGCTCGGCCTTCAAATGTATTTTAACGGACCTTCCAACTCAATAGATGCTGGAAATCAAAGTCATGTGTTCAGTATTCGAAATTACAATATTTTGATATTTAAACTACATCTACCAGATTGCCTGTTGAACCCAAGAACTGGTTTTTTTTTTTCAGTTATTTGTTCTAGTTTTTGGTTTGAAAAAGAGTTCGTTTGGTTTGAAAAAGAATTTGTTTGGTTTGAAAAATGTTCTTTTAGCCATTTTTATTAAACTTCATGCCAAAAAAATTAATGTATGTCAGAAAGTATTAGTAATTATGGAAATTTTCTCTTTGGATAGGCTCGCATGTCTTGGGATAGAGAGTCGACAGAAATTCGGTACCGTCGACTTCAACATTTGCTTGAAAAAAGCAATATCTACTCCAAATTTTTATTGACGAAAATGGAACAGCAACAATTAGAGGTATGTATATGTAACTGATTATAAGTGAAGGCTTAAAAAATTTTTTTTAAATAGCTTTATTGGCCAGGTGCGGTGGTTCATGCCTGTAATCCCAGCATTTTGGGAGCCCGAGGCAGGCAGACTACCTGAGGTGGGGAGTTCAAGACAAGCCTGACCAACATGGAGAAACCCTGTCTCTAGTAAAAAACACAAAATTAGCCGGGCATGGTTGCGCATGCCTGTAATCCCAGCTACTTGTGAGGCTGAAGCAGGTGAATCACTTGAACCTGAGAGGCAGAGGTTACAGTGAGCTGAGATCGCGCTAAGAGCAAAACTCTGTCTCAAACAAACAAACAAAAATAGCTTTATTGACGTGTACATTATATACAATAAAATGTACGGATTTTAAGTTTACAGTTTGCTGAGTTTGACTAGTAAACATATAGACCTGTGTAACCACCAGCACAATCAAGACACAGTACATTTCCATGAACTCCAAAAAGTTGTTTTGTGCTGGCAGTGATCCCCACCCCACAGTGATGTCCAGCAACCACTGATCTGCTTTATGTCACTATAGACCCTTATTGTTTTTCCCTAGAAAATTCTATAAATTAAATCATGGTATTGTGCTATTGTGAGTAAATAGTTGGTCTTAATCACCATTTCTTGGTATACAGCTCTTGAAATCCCTGGAATCTTCGAAATAATAGTGGCTTTTTTAATGCTGATGATCGATGGCTTAGGTACTAGAAAGCCTGGATTAGAGGGTTGGAATTTAGCCTCACCCTCAATCTCGAGGAAAAGAAGAGAGAAATCATCATGCCTATGTTATGAAGCCTTCATTAAAAACCCAGAAGGGCTGGATGTGGCTCATGCCTCTAACCCCAGCACTTTGGGAGGCCTAGGTAGGCAGATTGCTTGAGCCCGGAAGTTTGAGACCAGCCTGGACAACATGGCAAAATTCTATCTATACCAAAAATAGAAAAATATGCTAGGTGAGGTGGCATGTTCCTATAGTCCCAGCTACTTGGGAGGCTGAGGCAGGAGGATTGCTTGAGCCCAGGAGATTGAGGCTGCAGTGAACCATGATGGCACCACTGCACTCTAGTCTGGGTGACAGAGCAAGATCCTGTCTCAAAGATAAAGCAGGCTAGGCTCAGTGTCTCATGCCTGTAATCCCAGCACTTTGGAAGGCCAAGACGGGCGGATCACTTGAGTCTAGGAGTTTGACACCAGGCCGAGCAACATGGTGAAAACCCATCTCTATCAAAAATATAAAAGTTAGCTGGGCCCCCAGGTACTTGGGAGGCTGAGGCAGAAGGATCGCTTGAACCCAGGGGAATCACTTGAACTCAGGAAGCGGAGGTTTCACTGAGCCGAGATCACACCAGTGAACTCTACCCTGGGCAGCCAAGTAAGACTGTGTCTCAAAAATAAATAAAATAAATAAAAATAAAACAATTCAAAAGGACAGGGTTTGGAGAATTCCTGGAGAGCTGAACACATGGAGGTTCCTGGAGAGGGTGTTGCACCCAGAAAGGGCACGGAAGCTCTGCCTCTTGTGTTCATCTGAATCCTTTGTAATATTTTTATTTTTTTGAAACAGAATCTTTCTCTGTTGCCCAGGCTTGAGTGTAGTGCACCATCTCAGCTGCAATCTCCGACTACTCAGTTCAAGCATTCCTTCCACTTTGGCCTCCCCAGTAGCTGGGACTGCAGGAGCACACCATTATGTCTGTCTGATTTTTGTATTTTTTGTAGAGACACAGTTTTGCCATGTTGCCGAGGCTTGTCGAACTCCTGGGCCCAAGTGTTCCACCTATCCTGGCCTCATAAAGTTCGGGGATTACAGGTGTGAGCCACCGCCCCCAGACTGTCATATTCTTTATAATAAACCAGTAATCATTAATGTTTCTTTGAGTTCTGTGAGCTCCTCTAGCAAATTAGTTAAACCCAAAGAGGGGCTTGTCGGAACCCTGATTTATAGCTATTCAGTCAGAAGTACAGGTAAAACAACTTGGGCCTTGTGATTGGCATCTGAAATTGGTGGGGAAAGTCTTGGTGACTAAACCCTCAACCTGTGGTATATGATTCTATCACCTGGTACTTAGTGTGTGTCAGAATTGAATTCCAGTAGAGGACACCCAGCTGGTGTCACTGCAGATAAGCTTGTTGGGTGTATAGGGAAAACCCCCACACACTGGGTCACAGAAGTCTTTTGTGTTGATTGTTGAGTATGTAGGGAGAAACTGAGTTTGTTTTTTTCTCAATATTCTTTCAGATATGCATTCTTTTTTTTGAAACAGTTTCACTCGTTACCCAGGCTGGAGTGCAATGGCGCGATCTTGACTCACTGCAACTTCTGCCTCCTGGGTTCAGGCAATTCTGCCTCAGCCTCCTGAGTAGCTGGGATTACAGGCGCGTGCCACCATGCCCAGCTAATTTTTTGTATTTTTAGTAGAGACGGGGTTTCACCATGTTGACCAGGACGGTCTCGATCTCTTGACCTCGTGATCCACCTGCCTCGGCCTCCCAAAGTGCTGGGATTACAGGCGTGAGCCACCGAGCCCGGCTCAGATGTGCATTCTTTGTCTTGTTACTTTTGCTCAGCATATTTTTGAGATTTACTCATGTTGTGCCTTTTAGTGGGTCGTTCTTTGTATTCCTGAGGATTCCATTTTTAAAATGTCACTATTGGGGTGTAATTGTCATACACTAAACTGCACATATTTAAAATGTACAGTTCCCTAAATTTTGTTATATGGATATACTTGTGAAGCCATAACAATCATGATAGTGAACATACCCACTGATTCCAAAGAATTCTTTCTGCTCATGTATAATTCTTGTCTCTCATCTGTACCCCATGTTCTATCCACAGATAGCCAATTGCTCTATTTTCTGTTACTATGGATTCATTTGCATTTTCTGTTGGTGATGGGTTCTTTTAGCTTTCGTTGAGTGTCTTCACTTATAGCCAATTGCTCTATTTTCTGTTACTATGGATTCATTTGCGTTTCCTGTTGGTGATGAGTTCTTTCAGCTTTCGTTGAGTGTCTTCACTTACTTTCATTTTTGAAATAGATTTTTACTGGGTGAAGAATTTTTTTCTTCAGTACTTTATTTCTTGGAGTACTTTAAAGATGTTACACTATCTCCTAGCTTGTGTTGTTTCTGAAAAGTGAAAGTCCTGATAATGTCTATATATAGTCTGTAAGCAATTTGACAGCCTTTCTCAATCCCATTACCATTCAGACCTCCTGTCTTGGGCTTTTGTGATTGCTATTTTCTGCCTGGACCTTCTTCCTTTAAGTAACTGTATGGCTTAACTTCATCTTTGAGCTTTGACTGAAATGGTTTCTAGATGAGACCTGCTCTCACAATTTTAAGAAAGTTGCTAACACACTTGATTCTCTTTACCTCGTTCTTTTCTTGCCATTGCACTTTTCATCTGATGTACATCATTTATTGTATTTATTGTTTGTCTTTCCACTACGCTGTTACGAAGATTTAAAAACTTGTGCAAATCGAGAGAATACAGTAAGTCCCTGTGTCCCCGTCACCCACATGTAACAATTATCAGTGGAAATTTTGCTGTTTGTCAAATCTCCTTTTTTCTTTGTTTGAAACCCTTTTATTTTTTATGGTAAAATAAGGCACGGAAAAACAAATACTCAACTTAATGAGTTACATAGCATCTACCCCTTTCACCACCTCTTGGAAATGGTTTAAATTTTTTGGTGTCTTAAAAATTTGTGAGGGTATGTCTAGAACAGCTTTAGTCTCGGAATAAGTTGATCCCTTTTCTGAGCACTCTACTTATTGATGCCCTGTATATTAAGAGGACTTTCTACTTTGGCTGAGAGAATGTGCCTTAATATGCCTGACCTCCTTGGAACAAGAGAGGTTCCACCTGCTTCTTTCTGGTGACTCTTCTGGTGTTGGTTACCATGCACGTATCAGTACTCAGCCTGAGAAGGAGATAACAGCTGGCTTTGTGCATCTTTGTCCTCTCTGGTACTTGACCCTGGGAATGCTACTGCTCTTAAGTTTTGGATTCTGTCTCCTCAACACAAAGAGACTATTGGGCTCTGTTTGGATTTTTCTCCATTTTTTGTACTTTAAAATTGTATCAGGCAATAAGCTGGGCAGTCAGAAGATTAACCTTGTTTCCCTTTTGTCAGCGTTTACAGTCCGTTACTGCATGTTGCTTGAAAACCATTGTTTAATAAATGTTACCTGGATTTTAGTTGTTTAAGGCAGGAGGATAAATCTGTCCCATTACTCCACAAAGGCAAGTTCCTCCCTGTTTTTTAATTATGATAGACCTTAGTTTCTTCATTGTAAACATGTTATTTGAGAATTGATACGTGTGTGTGTTTTTTTTTCATGTTGCACTTCCCACTTATGACATAAGAAAAATTTATCTTATAGGAACAGAAGAAGAAAGAAAAATTGGAGAGAAAAAAGGAGTCTTTAAAAGTTAAAAAGGTAATATAGCCAGCCAGAATATTTTTTATGTCATTTAAATATTGAAGACATACTTATGTATTCTTCTGACTTTTTTGATTGTTTAATTTTGACTTGAGTGATAAACCTAACTTTGATACAAGCAATGCAGAAACATGTAAAATCTATTCTTTTTTTTTTTTTTTTTGAGACGGAGTTTTGCTCTTGTTACCCAGGCTGGAGTGCAATGGTGCGTATCTCGGCTTACTGCAACCTCCACCTCCTGGGTTCAGGCAATTCTCCTTCCTCAGCCTCCCGAGTAGCTGGGATTACAGGCAGGTGCCACCATGCCCAGCTAGTTTTTTGTATTTTTAGTAGAGACGGGGTTTCACTGTGTTGACCAGGATGGTTTCGATCTCTTGACCTCGTGATCCACCTGCCTCGGCCTCCCAAAGTGCTGGGATTACAGGCTTGAGCAACCGCACCCGGCCTGTAAAATCTATTCTTCACTATTTAAGAAATTGAGAAAGAGCCAAAGTATGATCCTTTAGTTTCTTAGTCCATGGATTATTTTGGATGATGACACAATTTGACTTGCTTAATTGGAAAGAATCTGCAAATTTAAACTTCAAGGCATTTTATTTTATTTTATTTATTTATTTTTTTGAGACGGAGTTTCACTCTTGTTACCCAGGCTGGAGTGCAATGGCACGATCTCGGCTCACCGCAACCTCCGCCTCCTAAGTTCAGGCAATTCTCCTGCCTCAGCCTCCTGAGTAGATGGGATTATAGGCACGCGCCACCATGCCCAGCTAATTTTTTGTATTTTTAGTAGAGACGGGGTTTCACCATGTTGACCAGGCTGGTCTCGATCTCTTGACCTCGTGATCCACCCGCCTCGGCCTCCCAAAGTGCTGGGATTACAGGCTTGAGCCACCGCGCCCGGCCGGTATTTTATTTTTATTTTTATTTTTTTTTGAGACAGAGTTTTGCTCTTGTTACCCAGGCTGGAGTGCAATGGTGCGATCTCGGCTCACCACAACCTCTGCCTCCTGGGTTCAGGCAATTCTCCTGCCTCAGCCTCCTGAGTAGCTGGGATTACAGGCACGTGCCACCATGCCCAGCTAATTTTTTGTATTTTTAGTAGAGATGGGGTTTCACCATGTTGACCAGGATGGTCTCGATCTCTTGACCTCGTGATCCACCTGCCTCGGCCTCCCAGTGTGCTGGGATTACAGGCTTGAGCCACTGCACCCGGCCCAGGGCATTTTATAAGTAGCCATTTTATTTGGAGCGCATAATGAAGTGCTAGTTAAAAGAGAAATAATAAAGGTTACATTTATTGAGTACTTACTGTGTGTCAGGTGTGCTATCATGTCTTCTCTTAAACAGTTCTTGTTAGGTAAAGGTACTGTTTTTTTCCCCCATTTTACATAAATAGAGGCTGATGCAAGAAGATAAAAAACATTTTTCATTATTCATGGATTGTGTATTTGTGAATTCACCTACTCACTTAAATTTATTTGTAACCCCAAAGTCAAGATTCCTGACACCATCATGATCATTTACATACACGCTTATGTGCAGAGAAGAAAAAAATTGTAGTTTACCAATGCTGAGCTCAAACATGGGTTGCTGTGCTTTGTTTCAGCTACCATATGTATGTCAAGCATATGTCCTTTTCATGGTCTTTATTTAATATCATTATTTTTGCATGTTTTATGGTTTTGCCTGGTGATTTTGCTGTTAAAATGGCCCTCAACTGTTGTGCCAAAGTCCCGTCTAGTGTTTCGTAGTACAAAAAAGCTGTGATGTGCCTTATGGAGAAACTGTGGCTTGGGTAAACTTCATTGAGGCATGAGGTACAGTGCTGTTGGCCCTGAGTTCTATATTAATCAACATATATATTAAATAAGATATCTTTAAAAACAAACACAAATAAAACAGGATTATGTATTGTTTGCTTGAAAATATCATAACCAGAGTCAGACTCAAGCTTGTATTTTTCCTAGGGGCAGTGAGTCAGTATTGTCATAATGATTTTATTGAACCACAAGTACTGCAGATTGTGAGAGCTGATGCTAACTTGCTGAAAATTGTGGATTTGAACCCAGGATTAGTTTAAGAGCTTCCACTTAGTTTCTATGCTAAACTGCCTTTAATAGGAAGTATCAAAATGCCAATAGGCAGAATGGCTAGCGTAGTTTTTAAGTCCAGTTATTTGATTCTTAGGCTAGTTAATGGTGGTGTTAAAATGCCTGATAAAGTATTTTGCATACTATTTTGCAGCAAAACCCATTATTTAAAACTGGTAATTCTGCTAGGCACGGTGGCTCATGCCTATAATACTTTGGGAAGCTGAGGCATGTAGATTCCTTGAGGCCAGGAGTTTGAGACCAGCCTGGCCAACATGATGAGACCCTGTCTGCTAAAAATACAAAAATTAGCTGGGTGTGGTGGTGCGTGCCTGTAGTCCCAGCTACTTGAGAGGCTGAGGTGTGGGTATAACTTGAACATGGGAGGTAGAGGTTGCAGTGAGCTGAGATTGCATCACTGCACTCTAGTCTGGGTGACAGAGGGAGACTCTGTTCTAAAATAAATGAATAACTAAAACTGGTAATACTGAGTCTACTGGGAGAGAGTATTAAAAAAAAAAAAGAAGTGGGCCGGGTGCGGTGACTCATGCCTGTAATCCCAGCACTTTGGGAGGCCAAGGCAGGCAGATCACCTGAGGTCAAGAGTTTGAGACCAACCTGCCCATCATGGTGAAACCCAGTCTCCATTAAAAATACAAAAATTGAGGTGAAGTCTTGTTCTTGTCCCCCAGGCTGGAGTGCAATGGCTTGATCTTGGCTCACTGCAACCTCTGCCTCCCAGGTTCAAGCGATTCTCCTGCCTCAGCCTCCCAAGTAGCTAGGATTACAGGCGCTCGCCACCATGCCTGGCTAATTTTTGTATTTTTAGTAGAGACAGGGTTTCATCATGTTAGCCAGGCTGGTCTTGAACTCCTGATCACAGATGATCTACCCGTGTTGGCCTCCCAAAATGCTGGGATTACAGGTGTGAACCACCTTGCCTGGCCAGTTCCATCTAGCTTTTTATGCCATGGTTTTGATTTTTTTCCCCCTCTGCATTTTTCCTGAAGATGTCAGCTATTAATTTCTGCCTACTCTAATCGCACGAGTTCTTTTTCAGTATTTTCTTGTTTAATCTTCAGACTTTGTAACTTAATTTTAAAATTCATTATATATATTTTCGTCATTTTGATTTATCATACATGTTGTTCACCTATTCTTGATATAATACTTTCCCAACTCTTACTTTGAAACTTTAAAAAGTTTTTTTAGAGGTGATGTCTCGCTAGCCCAGCCTAAAGTTCACTAGCACTGTAGTAGCTCACTGTGGCTTTGAACTCCTGGGCTCAAGCCATCTTCCCAACTCAGCCTCCTGAGTAGCTGAGACTACAGGTGCATAACACTATGCTCAGCTAATTTTTAAATTTTTTATGGAGTGTGTGTCTTGCTTTTTTGCTCAGGCTGATCTTGCACTCCTGGCTTCAAGCAGTCTTACTACCTAGTCCTCCTAAAGTGCTGGGATTATAAGTGTGAGTCACTGCACCTGGCCAGAAACTTTTTTTTAACATCTCATTTCCCTTGCCTTCCTTACTAATAATTTTCTATTAGTATTCTCTTTTGTTTCTACTTTGAGTTGTAGTTAATGTATGAATTTCATTTACAGTGAATATTCCTTCAATACTCAACCTATTGAATATCTTAGCATGATGTACAGTTAAAGGTGTACTAGGTATTTTTTTTTTTTTGAGATGGGAGTGTCACTCTGTTGCCAGGCTGGAGTGCAGTGGCACAATCTTAGCTAACTGCAACCTCTGCTTCCTGGGTTCAAGCAATTCCCCTGCGTTAGCCTCCCAAGTAGCTGGGACTGCAGGTGCTCGCCACCATGCCCGGCTAATTTTTTTGTATTTCAGTAGTGACGGGATTCCACCATGTTGGCCAGGGTGGTCTTGATCTCCTGACCTTGTGATCCACCCACTTTGGCCTCTCAAAGTGCTGGGATTATAGATGTGAGCCACTGCGCCCAGCCAGATGTACATGGAATTTCTAAATAAAAATGCCAACTATGGGCTGGATGCAGTGGCCTCACGCCTATAATCCCAGCACTTTGGGAGGCTTAGGTGGACGGATCACCTGATGTTAGGAATTCGAGACCAGCCTGGCCAACATGGTGAAACCCCATCTCTACTAAAAATACAAAACTTAGCCGGGTGTAGTGGTGAGCGCCTGTAGTCCCAGCTACTCGGGAGGCTGAGGCAGGGGAATCGCTTGAACCCAGGATGCAGAGGTTGCAGTGAGCCGAGATCGCGCCATTGCACTTTAGCCTGGGTAACGAGTGAAACTCCCCCCCAAAAAAAAAAAAAAAAAAAAAAATTGCCAACTATGTTTAATTTTGAAATTTCTTTTCTAAATGGAAAAAAAATATTGACAGAAGTAGAGAACTTGGAAAAAAGCAGAAATTATGGACAAGTTGTAGGGAAATACAGAAGATAACATGCATGTAAGTATAATAGTGAATTGAATGTGGCTTAACTAAGAAACTTTTTTCTCAAGTTAATCAGTGCCTTTTACTGTATAATACTAAAGGTCCTTAGTAAAAACAATATTCTGAATCCTTGTTTTGTAGGGTAAAAATTCAGTTGACCCAAGTGAAGAGAAGCCAGGTAAATATCCTTATTGCAGTTTTGAAGAATATGTGTTTATATTTCTATTTTAATTGCTATAAAAAACAAAATATTCTTTTTTTATAGTCATGAGAAAGAAAAGAGGAAGAGAAGATGAATCATACAATATTTCAGAGGTCATGTCAAAAGAGGTAAAAATAAAAGGGAGAGGGCACTTAACATTTGATGTTGAGTAAAAGGTAGGTTTTGAACCACCTTAAAGCTGTAAGGATGGAATATTCTATATCACATCAAATATATTTTTAATTTAATAGTATGTATCATTTATAGGTGAAGCTGCCAAAATGTTTGAAGCTGTCTACCAACCTTCGGTAGACTTAAGATTAATCTGAAACTAATGTCATCTGACCTTCATAGAAGACTTTTCTTTTTTTGTTGAAATGGATCTCTGTGGCCCATGCTGGGACACAGTCTTGGCTCACCGCAATCTCCATCTTCTGAGTTCAAGCGATTCTCCTGTTTCTGCCTACCGAGTAGCTGTGATTACAGGTGCCCACCACCCTGCCCAGCTCATTTTTTAATTTTTATTAGAGATAGGGTTTCATCGTGTTGGCCAGGCTGGTCTGGAACACCTGACCTCAGGTGATCTGCCCACCTCAGTCTCCCAAAGTCCTGGGATTGCAGGTGTGAGCCACCACTCCTGTCCTTTTATTTTTTAAGTGGCTACTAGGCTTACACCTTTAGATTGTTCTGGTTTTCGTTTTCCTTTCTTTTCTTCCTTCCTGCCTTTCTATCTTCCTTTTCCTTTCTTCTTTTCTTTTTTTTTTTTTTTTTTTTTGAGATGGAGTCTCGCTCTTGTTACCCAGGCTGGAGTGCAATGGCGCGATCTCGGCTCACCGCCACCTCCACCTCCCGGGTTCAGGCAATTCTCCTGCTTCAGCCTCCTGAGTAGCTGGGATTACAGGCACGCACCACCATGTCTAGCTAATTTTTTGTATTTTTAGTAGAGACGGGGTTTCACCATGTTTTTTTTTTTTTTTTTTTTTTTTTTTTTGAGACGGAGTTTTGCTCTTGTTATCCAGACTGGAGTGCAATGGCGCGATCTCGGCTCACCACAACCTCCGCCTCCTGGGTTCAAGCAATTCTCCTGCCTCAGCCTCCTGAGTAGCTGGGATTACAGGCACGCGCCACCATGCCCAGCTGATTTTTTGTATTTTTAGTAGAGACGGGGTTTCACCATGTTGACCAGGATGATCTCGATCTCTCGACCTCGTGATCCACCTGCCTCGGCCTCCCAAAGTGCTGGGATTACAGGCTTGAGCCACCGCGCCCGGCTACAGCTGGCTAATTTTTAAATTTTTGATAGTGATGAGGTCTCATGTTGCCTAGGCTACTCTTGAACTCCTGGGTTCAAACAATCCTCTTGTGTCAGCCTCCCTGAGAATACAGGTGTGAGCCAGTGTGCCCTGCCTTATGCTGGTTTTCTTGGGTTATTATAGCTAACAGTAATAGCTCTGACTACCAATTATCTTGTGCTTAAGTACCTGGTGGACTTATGTAGCATTTTGCCAGGAACTGTGGAAACCACAGGTGTGGGAATAGAGCTTAAAATTACATCTAATAGCTGGGTGTAGTGGCTCATGGCTGTAATCCCAGCACTTTGGGAGGCTGAGGCGGGTGGATCACGAGGTCAGGGGTTCAAGAGCACCCTTACCAACATGGTGAAACCCCATCTCTACTTAAAAATACAAAAATTAGCCAGGTATGGTGGTGCACACCTATAATTCCAGCTACTTGGGAGGCTAAGGTAGGAGAATCGCTTAAACCCGGGAGGCGGAGGTTTCGGTGAGCTGAGAGCTCACCATTGCACTCTAGCTTGGGTGACAGCATTAGTGTGTAGTAGGTACTTCAAAATCAGAACACTTTATTCTGTATTTTCAGTGTATTTGTCTTTGCTTCTTACCCAGGAATACAAACTCAGATTTCTGTCCACAGAGTCCTAAAGTGGGCTGTAACATGGTTTGGTAGACTTTTTCTGTAAATAGCCAGATAGTAAATATTTTAAGCTTTTGAATAGGTTTTTTGTTGTTGTTGTTGGTTGTTTTTTTGAGACTGAGTCTCAGTCTGTTGCCCAGGCTGGAGTGGAATGGCAGGATCTCATCTCATTGCAACCTCTGCCTCCTGGGTTCAAGCTATTCTTCTGCCTCAGCATCCCGAGTAACTGGGACTACAGGGATGCGCCACCACCCCCAGCAAATTTTTGTATTTTTATTAGAGATGGGTTTCACCATATTGTCCAGGTTGGTCTTGAACTCATGACCTTGTGATCTGCCAGCCTCAGCGTCCCAAAGTGCTAGGATTACAGGTGTAAGCCACTGTGCCCAGCCTCTTTTGAGTAGTTGGTTTTTTTTTTTTTTTTTTTTTTAAGACAGAGTCTCACTCTGTTACCCAGGCTGGAGTGCAGTGTGGCAATCTTGACTCACTGCAACTCCGCCTCCTGGGTTCAAGCAGTTCTTCTGCCTCAGCCTCCTGAGTAGCTGGGATTACAGGTGCGCAATACCACGCCTGGCTAATTTTTGTATTTTTAGTAGAGATGGGCTTTCACCATGTTAGTCAGGCTGGTCTTGAACTGCTGACCTTGTGATCCACCTGCCTTGTCCTCCCAAAGTGATGGGATTACAGGCGTGAACCACCACACCCGGCCTTCTTTTGAGTAGTCTTGTGGGCAACTACTCAACCCTATTCTCTGCTATTGTTGCTTGAAAGCAGCCGTGGACAAACTGTAAACAAGTGAGGCTTTTTCCAGTTTATCCCCTTTCTTTTGCTTAAAAAAAAAATACCTATGTATTTGCTTAGCTGAAGTTGGTCTACAGGCTGTAGACCCCAGGACTGGAGGTTTGTTGTCATGTGTGAATTTGTACTCAGTCTACTCAGATTAAAAGAAAAAAAAAGCTGGAAAATTATGGTATTTAATGAAATATCCCATTGTATAAGTGTTGCCAAATTAGCTAGAATTTTATAAAGTATTATGAGCCAGTTATGTCTGTAGGCTTATTTCTGCGTGAAGGCCCCTAGTTTTTGATTCTCTGTATTTTAATTATCTTGAGAATCTCATCCTTATTTCCTGGCAAAATGAGCACAGAATAAATGCTTGTTGAATAAATAAATAAATAAACTGCTTATATTATTAATTTGTTTTTGTTTTCTCAATCTACTAGGAAATTTTGTCCGTGGTTAAAAAAAATAAAAAGAATGAGGTAAGAATTTTAATATAAAATTAAATTTGAAGTCATTTACGCCCCAGTCACTAGTCCTTTTTCTTTAATCACTAGTGTACATTTTTCTCACTATCCCGTTTCTTTGCTTTAAAAAAAAACACCTATGTATTCACATCTTCCATATCCTAACATTCTTCTTTCCTATTTATCAACTTTAGTTATGTGTTTTATTGCTCGTTCTTGATGTGTAAATGTTAATTTATGGCTCTAGCAATGTGCTTTCATCTTCTGAGTCTGGCAGTGATGCAAGTGTTTGTAACACCATCTGGGTATAAATGGTGAGTCATCTTATGGAACCTGTGGGGGATGCCTTAATCTTGCTTCTGACCTTAAAGATTTTTTAAAGTTTCTTAAAAGTTCTGTTTGAGAAGGCTTGATTTTCGAGCCAGCTCTTCACTGACCCTCATTTTATTTAGAGAGGTTATTTGTTATCTGATTTTTTTATGGCTCAAGTCCTTAAAATTACAGGGTTGCATACGGAAGCAAAATAATCATGACATAAAAATATTCACTAATGGATATGAATTTCAGGTAGTTAATTTACATATCAAAGTTTTTTTAGGCCTTTGGGAAGTTAATGTTATGTTTATAAAATGAGAGATACTCTGTTTAGTCATCATAATTTTGTCCAAAATTTATCCTGTAAACGTCTTGACTTTTATTCTTTTTTAAGTTTAAGAACTGCTTTATGATTGCAGTTATAACCTGCTAGTATAAATATAAGATAAAGGTCATTTTTATAACATTGAGTTAGATTTTTACAGAAAAAGCCTCAATGTAATGTGCTGTAATTTACTATGGGATTTTGGTCTCGTTTTATAACTTAGAGTCAGTAAGTAAGAAACAGAAACAGTTCTTTTTTTTTTTTCTTTGAGACGGCGTCTCTGTCACCCAGACTAGAATGCAATGGTGTGATCTTGGCTCACTGCAACCTCCACCTTGCAGGTTCAAGCGATTCTCCTGTTTCAGCCTCCTGAGTACCTGTGACCACAGGTGGGCGTGGAGATGGGGTTTCATCATATTGGCCAGGCTGGTCTTGAACTCCTGACCTGAGGTGATCTGCCCACCTTGGCCTCCCAAAGTGCTGGGATAACAGGCGTTAGCCACCGCGCCTGGCCAGAAAGAGTTCTTAAGTATGTATTTTAATGAATTTTGACACATGCATACACTTGTGTAACCACCATCCAAATCAAGGTATAGAACATTTCCATTGTAGAGGGATCTCTTCTGTCTTTCTAATTATTTTTCCACCTCTAAACCCAGAGGAGGCCACTTTGTACATCTTTTATAGGCTGGTTTATTATTTCCTTTCTACTCAACATGTCTGTGATACTCATTTATGTTGTTGAGCGTATTAGTAACTGGTTTCTTTTTATTGTTGACTAGTATTCCATCGAATGAATATTAAAATTTTCTAATCCATTTCCTTATTGATAGACATTTGGGTTGTTTGCAATTTGTGACTTTTATGAGTAAGGCTGCTATGATCGTTTGTATACAAGTCCATGTGTAGACATGTTTTTATACTTTTTGCCTGCGTGCTTGGGAATGGAATTGTGTTATATGGCAAATGTATGTTCATAAGAAAGTACAGATGTTTTTTTTTTCCTAAACGCGTCATTTTATTCTCTCATCAGCAATGTATGAAAATTTCAGCTTACATTGTCAGCATTTGATATTGTTAGTCTTTTTAATTTCAGCCATTTTATTAGATGAGAAATGATATCTTGTGTGGTTTTTAACTTGCATTTTCCTAATTACTGCTGAAGTAGAGTGTATTGTTATGTTCTTGATTGTTGTATGTTTTCTTTTGTAAAGTGTCTGTTAATATCTTTCGTCAGTCTTAAGGTGTATTGTATTTTCTCTGTAATAGTTTAGTTATTGAGTAGCGCAATATTAGAAGTTTAGAAGAGAAGTACAATTCTAATGGTCTTTTCAAAAGTATATGTCTGGTAATCATTTTAATTTGTAAAGGTTATTCTCAGATTTTTATATTTTATTTTTGAGGTAGAGTCTCCTGTCACCGAGGCTGGAGTGTAGTGGTTGTGTTGATGGCTCACTGCAGTCTTGACTTCCTGGGCTCAAGTGATCCTCAGCCTCCCAAGTAGCTGGGATACAGGCAGTTGCATGCAACCACGCCCAGCTAATTTTTTGTATTTTTTGTAGAGACAGGGTTTCACTGTGTTTCCCAAGCTGCTCTTAAACACTTGGACTCAGGTGATCTTCCTGCCTAAGCCTCCCAAAGTGCTGTGATTATAGGATTAGCCACTGTGTCTGGCCTGTTGTTATTTTTTTTAGTGGTTTTTCATTTGTAGAGGGATGGAGATATCTCCAGTTTTTAATCCAGATGGAGTCTTATTTTTCATTACCTAATGACTTGGTAGATTTTGTTAATCACATTTTCTGATAAATGGTGGCTTAAGGCAGCATTTTGTATCAAATTTCTAATTAAACTTTTTTCTTTGCAGGATGAAAACTCCTCTTCTACTAATCTCTGTGTAGAAGATCTTCAGAAAAATAAAGAGTCGAATAGTATAATTAAAGATAGATTGTCTCAAACGGTTAGGCAGAATGCGAAATTCTTTTTTGACCCAGTCCGGAAATGTAATGGTCAGCCAGTGCCTTTTCAACAACCAAAGCACTTCACAGGCGGAGTGATGCGATGGTACCAAGTAGAAGGCATGGAATGGCTTAGGGTAATGAATCGTCATAATAAAAGATACTGGTTTATTTCTATTTTAGCCTAGTAATGTGATGTACCACAATTTGAGTCATTTCTATCATGTTTCACTATTATATATTTGTGTGTGCATACTTACTTTCTAATTTCTTTTTTTTTTGAGATGGAGTTTCACTCTTGTTACTCAGGCTGGAGTGCAATGGCGCGATCTCGGCTCACTGCAACCTCCGCCTCCTGGGTTCAGGCAATTCTCCTGCCTCAGCCTCCTGAGTAGCTGGGATTACAGGCACGTGCCACCATGCCCAGCTAATTTTTTGTATTTTTAGTAGAGACGGGGTTTCACCATGTTGACCAGGATGGTCTCGATCTCTTGACCTCGTGATCCGCCCGCCTCGGCCTCCCAAAGTGCTGGGATTACAGGCTTGAGCCACCGCGCCCGGCCTTTCTAATTTCTTTACTGTGAATTTTTAGAAGTAGAAATTACCTTGTTAAAGCTTCCAGCACTTTTATGGCTTTGATAAAGGACTTTTCACAGTGTTGTTATAATTTATGGTGTTTTTAACATAATTCTTATCTTTGGGTATGAATTTTTTAAAAAAGAAATAAACTATTATAACCCTGTAGGTGTTTATATACAGGTTTAAATGCAGTATCTATTATTTTGTCTAGATGCTTTGGGAAAATGGAATTAATGGCATATTAGCAGATGAAATGGGATTGGGAAAGACAGTTCAGTGCATTGCTACAATTGCATTGATGATTCAGAGAGGAGTACCAGGACCTTTTCTTGTCTGTGGCCCATTATCTACACTTCCTAACTGGATGGCTGAGTTCAAAAGATTTACACCAGATGTAAGACATGCTTCCTTATGTTAAAATTATAATTTTACCTGTTTTCGTCTGCTTTGTTGTTGTAGGAATTGTAGAACTTCTATAATTACGTTGGTTCCTGTATAATTATTGCGTCTGATTTGACTTAATATGTGGAATACCCTAATTTAAATTTATATAGAATAGGTTTTGGAAATCTCTGACATCTTTCCTGAAATATTCCTGAATGATTTTCAATGCATTGGTTAATTTGATTCAAGTGAGACAGACTTAAGTAGAATTTTTATTTAAAATTCTGCCTATTCTGCACTTGATCTTAGCCTAAAGGCTGAGAAGTGAGTTTTCTGGGTTTTTTTTTTTTTTTTTTTTTTAACTTTTTTTTCTGTACATGTCTTCTGCAGTTTTTTTCCTTTTTTTTTTTTTTTTGAGATGGAGTCTCTGTTGCCCAGGCTGGAGGGCAGTGGTGTAATCTGGGTTCACTGCAACCTCTGCCTTCCACGTTGAAGCAATTCTTGTGCCTCAGCCACCTGAGTAGCTGGGACTACAAGCATGTGCCACCATGCCCAGCTAATTTTGTATTTTTAGTAGAAACGGGGTCTTGTCATGTTGGCAAGGCTGGTCTTGAACTTCTGGCCTGAAGAGATTCTCCCACCTTGGCCTCCCAAAATGCTGGGGTTATAGGTGTGAGCCACTGTGACCCTCGTGCCCAGCCCTTCTGTGCATTTTTGCCTCATGAGAAATATATGTATTCTAGAAGTAGCATAACTCTCTGTCTCATTTTATATATTATTATTTTTTGAGATGGATTCTTGCTCACTCGCCAGGCTGGAGTGCAGTGGTGCAGTCTCGGCTCATTGCAACCTCTGCCTCCCAGGTTCAAGCAATTCTTCTGCCTCAGCCTCCCAAGTAGCTGGGGTTACAGGTGTGCACCTCCACACCTAGCTAATTTTGTAGTTTTAGTAGAGATGGGGTTTCTTCATGTTGGTCAGGCTGGCCTCAAACTCATCACCTCAACTGATTCGCCCCCCTTGGTTTCCCAAAGTGCTAGTATTACAGGCGTGAGCCATCCTGCCCAGCCCGTATATTTGTTTTTCTGGCTATATATTTTTTACAGACAGGATGTTTCTCTGTCACCCAGACTGGAGGGCAGTGGTACCATTCTGGTTCATTGTGGCCTTCACCTCCCAGGCTCATATGAGCCAGCCTTCTCACACCCCTGAGTAGCTCATGTGAACCTCTCACCTCACCCCACTGGGTGAGTAGCTGACACTACAGTTGCGTATCATCACACTCAGCTAGTTTTTGTATTTTTTATGGAAATGAGATTTCTCCATGTTGCCCAAGTTCATCTTGAACTACTCCTGGACTTTATAGATTTGCCTGCCTTGGCTTTTCAAAGTGCTGGGATTACAGGTGTGAGCCATTGTGATGGGCCTGACATTTTTTTTTTTTTTTTTTAGTTTCTCCTGTAGTAATTCAATGATTTGTTAGAATTACTTGGCTTATTTTGTTACAGAAAAATAGAACTAAAATTTTAAAAAATTATATTTATTCTCAGAATGATTCCTATGTTCCAAATAATCGATGTTTATGTTTCCTTCTTAAGTTTGTTATAAATCTGTATACAATTTTTCAGATCCCTACTATGTTATATCATGGAACCCAGGAGGAACGTCAAAAATTGGTAAGGAATATTCACAAACGGCAAGGGACTCTGCAGATTCATCCTGTAGTGGTTACATCATTTGAAATAGCCATGAGAGACAGAAATGCATTACAGGTACAAATGGTCTTCATTGGTTTCTTTGTAATATATAAAGGATGTTTTTCTTAATTTATACTGCTTTCTTACCATCCGGAAGCATTTGTTTAATTTAGTTGTTGTTAAAGGAATAGATTATATTGAACATATGCCTGTAGAACCTGCAAGCTTATATTAACAGAGTGATTGGGGTGAAGGTTGTCGTTTGTAGCAATATAATTAAAGCTTATGGCAGTTTAACCTATGGCTGTAATGCCATTTTAATATCTTAGAATCATCCAGAAATAGACCTAATCTCTGAAGATACTACAGATATATTTGTGACAGGTTCTTTGAATATATGGAATTTACCTATCCTTTGTATTTTAATCAAATAAGAGTATTTGAAGACAAGTTGTTTTTAGACTATCTTATTGGACTTTTGGTAAAATTTTCATTTCTGTTTTTCCTGATGTTCTAGCTAGTTACTTATTAATTGTCCAGTTAGCGTAACAATTGGAAAATTGACCTTTTTTCTTTTGTGCCTTCTGTTAATTCATTTATTGGTGTTTTGAGCTTCTTCCTCCCTGCTTGACCTCATTCATTTTTCTCTTTACTGCTTTGTTTTTCCTTTCTCTTACCATGTGAGAACACTGCTTAGTGTAGTCCCCTTAGGTTTGTCTTGCTTGTTTGGAGATAGGAAAGTACTTAATGGTTTCAATATAAAATCTCAAAACACATAAGTCATAAATGGAATAATTATGGCTTGTGTAATTATGACCAGTATTGTCAGGTTTTGCATGTGTGCTGGTAAAACTTTGGAATATGATTTGCGGAAGTCTTAGCTCAGGAGTTTAGCAGTTTATGAATGTAAACTCCAGGCCGGGCATGGAGGCTCATGCTGGTAATTCAGCACTTTGGGAGGCTGAGACAGGCAGATCCCTTGAATTCCAGACCAGCCTGGCCAATATGGTGAAACCCTGTCTCTATTAAAAATACAAAAATTAGCTGGATGTGGTGGTGCATGTCTGTAATCCCAGCTCCCTGCTGAGGCACAAGGATTTCTTTAACTCGGGAGGTGGAGGTTGCAGTGAACTGAGTTTGTGCCGCTGCACTCCAGTCTGGGCTACAGAGAGACTGTCTCAAAAAAAAACCAGGAACCGGTTTTGTGGAAGACAAGTTTTCCATGGACCATGGGGATGGTTTTGGGATGATTGTAGTGCATTACAATTATTGTGCACTTTATTCTTACTATAAAATTGTAATATATAATGAAATAAAAGGGCTGGGCATAGTGGCTCACACCTGTAATCCTAGCAGTTTGGGAGGCTGAGGCGGGCAGATGCACTTAAGGTTAGAAGTTTGAGACCAGCCTAGCCAATATGGTGAAACCCCGTCTCTAGAAAATACACAAAAACTAGCCAGGCATGGTGGCATGTTCCTGTAATCCCAGCTCCTCAGAAGGCTAGGACAGAAGAATTGCTTGAACATGGGAGGCGGACATTGCAGTGAGCTGAGATCACACCACTGTACTACAACCTGGGCAACCGAGCGAGATTATAATCATAATTATACAACTCACCATAATGTAGCATCAGTGGGAGCCCTGAGCTTGTTTTCCATCTAGGGATGATGGGAGACAGTGACAAATCATCAGAAATTAGATTTTTATAAGGGGCGTACAACCTAGATCCCTTGGATGTGCAGTTCACAGTAGGGTTCATGCTTCTGTGAGAATGTAATGCCTTCTGGTCTGACAGGAGGAGGAGCTCAGGCCATAATTGGAGCAGTGGGGAGCAGCTGTAAATCCAGATGAAGCTTCCCTCACTAACAGACTGCTGTATATAGCCTGGTTCCTAATAAGTCATGAACTCCTACAGGTCTGTGGCCTAGGGGTTGGGGACTCCTGATTTTCTTTACAATAGAAGTAATATATACCGATTTTTTCTTTTTCTTTTCTTTTCTTTTTTTTTTTAAACAAAGGATAGTGTACAGGAAGATGTAAAAGCACCTGTAATTCTTTTTTTTTTTTTTTTTTTTTTTTGGGACAGAGTTTCACTCTTGTTATCCAGGCTGGAGTGCAATGGTGCGATCTCGGCTCACCGCAACCTCCGTCTCCTGGGTTCAAGCAATTCTCCTGCCTCAGCCTCCCAAGTAGCTGGGACTATAGGCGTGCACCACCATGCCCAGCTAATTTTTGTATTTTTAGTAGAGATGGGGTTTCACCATGTTGACCAGGATGTTCTTGATCTCTTGACCTCGTGATCCACCCGCCTCGGCCTCCCAAAGTGCTGGGATTACAGGCATGAGCCACCGTGCCCGGCCCGGCAAGCACCTGTAATTCTACCTGAGAACTACTTTTATACTAAATAACTACAGCTAACATGTATGTAATTTACACATATGATCATACTATACATTCACTCCCCCACCCCACAGGGTCTAACTTTGTCACGCAGGCTGAAGTTCTGTGGCACGATCTCAGCTCACTGTGGACTAACCCTCTGCCTCAGGTGATCCTTCCACCTCAGTCTCCTGAGCAGCCCGGACTGTAGGCATGCATCACCACACCTGACTAATTTTTGTATCTTCTGTAGAGATATGGTGTCGAACTCAGGAGCTCAAGCCATCCACCTGCCTAGGCCTCCCAAAGTGCTGGGAGTACAGGTGTGAGCCACTGCTCCCAGCCTACATTCACTCTTGTAATTTGTGTTTTCTACTCAGCAAAATAACACGAAGACCCTTCTAATTTGTTTTTCCTACCCATCCTGTAATGAAATAGTAGCTTTCTTGTTCATTTCATTTGCCAGTGGCTAGAAACTTCCAGGTTTCCCATTTCACTGAGCTTATGTTATCATTTCAAGGATCGTAGCTTTTGGTGGTAATAGGAGTGTGAGGTTCCAGGGCCCTTGTTGCTGAGTGCAAACCGAAGTAACTGAGTTCATTTGCTAATTTTGTTTTCAGATTCCTCATCATTTGTTTCCTTTCTCTCATCTACCGACTGTAAAAGGATATAAATATATGTGTGTGTGTGTGTGTGTGTGTATATATATATATTTTTATTTTTTTTGAGACAGTCTCATTCTGTCAGCCAGGATAGAGTGCAGTGGCACGATCTTGGCTCACTGCAGCCTCCATCTCCCAGGCTCAGGCGATTCTCCTGCCTCAGCCTTCCGAGTAGCTGGGATAACAGGCGTGTGCCGCCACACCCAGCTAATTTTTGTATTTTTAGTAGAGATAGGGTTTCACTATATTGGCCAGGCTAGTCTCAAACTCCTGACTTCAGGTAATCTGGCTGCTTTGGCCTCCCAAAGTGTTGGGATTACAGGCATGAGCCACTGTGCTGGGCCAAGGATATTTCATATTTTTATCTGCTATTTTTTAGATAGGTGTCTTAACAGTGAGAGATAATTCAGGTTTTCTGGTTTACCATATTACCAGGAAAATAAATCCCTTTCTAGTTATTTTCATAAAGAAGATATAATACTATACATTTTTTTTTCCCATTCTGTTGGGATATATAAAGTAAAATGCAAAACATTCTCTGTACTCTTGTCAATTTGTCAGTCCCATTATTCAAGTATACCTGTATTTTTCAGCTTGGTATTTATATTTCCAGAAGTAGTTCTGTATGTTAATTTATTAAGATACAGAAATACTACAATAAATTTATTATAAATTTTCCTGATTAAGATATGTTAGAAATCACAGATATTAAAATGAGAAAGTTAGACAGTTTTCATGACAACTTTATGAAAGTGAATGACTTTCCGTGAAAATATAAATTGCTTAAAGAAGGGAAAATTTTAGTACTATTTCATGTTTCAGAGCATATGAAACTAATAAAAGGTCTCAATTTTTGGTAGTCTAGTGTAACATTAATATAAAAACTTGGGAAAACATTAGAAATGAAAGCTACAACTGCGTTGACTAAGGTGTGAATGGGGAAATCTTAAATTCAGAATATGTGGAGTTCAAACTTTATTGCATAATGAAGTAGGGCTCTTCCAGGAACATAAATATCTGTCAGTTTTAGGAATCCTCATAAGTGAATCAGATAAAAGTATGATCATCTTAGTGCTCAGTAGTTACTGAAATATATTTGATAAAATTCAACAGCCATTCCTCATAATAGTGGTTTTATTTTTAGAATTCTTGTTAGAAAAATTGTGAGATAATTGTTTAAAAATTTTTTTCCTCAATTCATTTTCTAGCATTGCTATTGGAAATACTTAATAGTAGATGAAGGACACAGGATTAAGAATATGAAGTGCCGTCTAATCAGGGAGTTAAAACGATTCAATGCTGATAACAAACTTCTTTTGACTGGTACTCCCTTGCAAAACAATTTATCAGAACTTTGGTCATTGCTAAACTTTTTGTTGCCAGATGTATTTGATGACTTGAAAAGGTGGGTAAGCCAGATATTTAATAATGATTTAACCTCAAAAATCTGTGCTCTTAGTTAAAATTAGTTTCTTCTCAGTAGCTGAATTAAAATGCCAATATTTGACAAGCTCTTTATGGTGTATGTTGTATGTTCCACTTCTGCCACAAATTATGTGAGAGCAGATTAAGAAAAGATTATTTAAAACTTATTTTCATTGATTAAAGGCAGACTGTTGAGTGCTAAAGATAATATTTTCATAACAAGTTTCTTTTATGTGTATTTTAAGATGAATTTTTCTCATGATGTCCTCATGAAACAACCAGGGACAATAGAGTTGTTAAATTATTTTCTGTCTCACATAAAAGAAAACTGAGGTGTAAAATTGTTACAAGATAAGACTAAATAGTTAGCACCAGAACTGAAGTTAAAACAAAGATCTCCCAATGTCAATATAGTGTTTCAATTCCGGAAACTATGTTTGAATCTTAGCTTATATAATAAAACCAGAAATAAAAATAGTTTTCAGAAAGCAATTAGTAGCTTCAGAATGGAGGAGGAGATCATGTTAACATAATTTAAAACTGAATACAACGGAAATATAATAACCTGGACAAAAAAATGTAATTTATACTTGTCATCAATGAAGGAAGTAAGCTAATTGGATGTGGAAAAATAATTTTTAATTTTGGGAATTTATTTCAAATCTGGTTACCAAATGGTGGCTTGAGCCGGGCTACCTTATTGTGACTCTTGGCACTTTTATTGAAGGACAAGACTTCCAGGTCCTGTGCAGACATTCTGAGTTACAGTATCAAGGTGGGAGTTGAGAATCTGAATTTTTTGAACATGCTTTGGTGATCCAAGTTTGGGAACATCTAGTCTACTGCATAAATGTTACTAGTATTTTCCACAATCGGTTATAATGTTATCCATTATATGTTATTAATCTGCATGCTCATATATAATTGCTCATTAAAATATATACATTTTTAACATTGGGAAGGAATAAGCATGTATAATATTATTGTCGAGTTACGTGTATTGTATGTTGAATGTTGAATTTTAAAACATTTATTGTAGTGGGCCATACATACTGATTGAGAAAAATCATATGACTTTGTTTTTCAGAGACAGTTCTACTTTTGTAATTGTAAAATTATAAATGTGTACTTTAATCTTATTTGATGTTTATACTACTGTACGATTGTTAATCTATAAATCAGAAAAGTGTTCCCTTTAAGCTCACAGTTCTTGATTGTTGGTTCAAAAAATACAATCACTTTATCTTTGTTGTTTGAATGTGTTATTTTTCATTATAACCTAAAGATAAGGTGCAAAAATACCACGTTTCAGTATCACAGATTATTAGTGTAAATGATAAATCATGTATCATGTTGACATAATTGAATTTATGTGATTGGTTAACTTTAACATTTTTCTCTTTCAGCTTTGAGTCTTGGTTTGACATCACCAGTCTTTCTGAAACTGCTGAAGATATTATTGCTAAAGAAAGGGAGCAGAATGTATTGCATATGCTGCACCAGGTTTTCCATGTTTTCTTATTCTGTTTACTGTAAGCTCCATAGAGTATAAAAGGAACTCTGGAGATCACCTGTCTCTTTGTAGTAGAGATTTGAAAAACGAAAGTCCTCCTACATTTAAATGACTTATTTGTCCTTTCTTCTCCGAGAGGTTACATGGTTTTATGACAAAACTCAAGTGCTTACTTAAGTTTGGTCCTTTTCAGATAGTGTACTCATTTTACCCCTAATGGTTACTGATAACGTTTGTCAACCAAAAAACAAAAACATGGTTTTTATTCAGTGTTTGCCAATAATACTTACAATTTACATCCTTGCATGGCAGCTGTCTAATCTATTTTTATTGTTTCCTGTAGTTCCTACCCCATCCTACCTATCTTTAATTTAAAGAAACATTATCTTTCAAAGGTCATCTAGTCATGTAAGCCTGAAAAACTCAGTTGTGGTTTAGCAATTTTATTCAAAGCCTTTACAGTTTTTTTCTGACATTAAATATTATACTTGCTCATGAGAAAAATGTGAAGCAGTAGAGAAGTGAAAAGTAAAAACCACTTCCTCTTCAAATACTTCTAGCAGTGTATGGAATGATTATGTTGTGTTATATGACCCTTTTCGCTTTGTATAACACGTGTGTTTTTTCTGTATTTTATGAAGAAAAGTTTTAAAAATAAAATTGCACCTTAAGATAGTCTTTTGAACAATTATTAGAAAATTATTTTCCTTTTACTACTTGTAGATTTAAATCAGTGGTTTTTAATGGCTGCTTATTATCCCATTGTCCTGTTCTATAATTAATGAGCTCTTCCTCTTTTCGAACTTTTCTACAATATAAACAAGGTTAAAAGTATATATACTTAAAACTACATCTTTGCCATTTCTGGCTTTTTCCTTAGAAAAGAATTCTAAGATATATGTCAGAGTTTAGAGATGAGAGCTCTTTTGAAAGCAAATTGCCCTCCAGAAAGGATTTGTATATAACATACATCCATATGAAAATACTACTCAAGCTTCATACCAATTTTGAGGTTAGAAGTCCTTTACAGTGTGTTGCAGAGATTAAAAAGGATGATATTCCTGAATTGAGATGTTTGTTATACTCTCTTGATATTTTAAAATGTAAAAGTTAAATTATTGACTGTAGTCAACCTTGTTGTGTTACTAAATACTAGGTCTTACTCATTATTTCTATTTTTTTGTACTCATTATTTTAAAAAAAATTCAAAATTTGTATTTCTTTTTATTTTTTTCCCTTTTGGATGGTGCTGATAAAACCCCTTTCTAAAAGTGGCGGACTATAACTAAAAATGAGCCCGAAGAAATACAAATACTACCTTTATATTTTTACTTTTAAACTTATTTGAGATAGATTCTTAGAGTTTTTAAAAGAAGAGTAAATTCTGAAATGCTGTGGACAAATACTGGGAGTTTATCATTTGGTGGTCTGATCTGGGAGAATTTTAAAAAGATACTTTAATTTTACCTTTTGAGATTTTTTTTTGAGAAGGAGTTTCACTCTTGTTACCCAGGCTGGAGTGCAGTGGCGCAATCTCGGCTCACCGCAACCTCTGCCTCCTGGGTTCAGGCAATTCTCCTGCCTCAGCCTCCTGAGTAGCTGGGATGACAGGCATGCGCCACCATGCCCAGCTAATTTTTTTGTATTTTTAGTAGAGACAGGGTTTCACCATGTTGACCAGGATGGTCTCGATCTCTTGACCTTGTGATCCACCCGCCTCGGCCTCCCAAAGTGCTGGGATTACAGGTGTGAGCCACCACACCCGGCCTTGAGATTTAATAGTATTTGTATAGGAAGTCAAAAGATAAGGTAAATGAGTATGTGGGGACAGTATTTCCTGAAAAAATAAGAATGTTTAATACTCATATTTTTCTGTTTGTGTTTTAATTTTAGATTTTAACACCTTTCTTATTGAGAAGACTAAAGTCTGATGTTGCTCTTGAGGTTCCTCCTAAACGAGAAGTAGTTGTTTATGCGCCACTTTCAAAGAAACAAGAGATCTTTTATACAGCCATTGTGAACCGTACAATTGCAAACATGTTTGGATCCAGTGAGGTATAGCATGGATTTGAAATGTACTGTAAATGAAACTTGACATTATAAAATTTCTTTTTTTTTCCTTTTTTTTTTTTTTTGAGGCAAGATCTAGCTCTATTGCCCTGGCTGGAGTGCAATGGCACAATCACTGCTCACTGCAGCCTTTACTGCGTGGCTAAATGTTTTGTATTTTTTTTTTTTTTTTGTAGAGACTAGAGTTTTGCCATGTTGCCCAGGTTGGTCTCAGACTCCTGGGCTCAAGCAGTCTGCTCACCTTGGCCTTACAAAGTACAGGGATTACAGGTGTTAGCAATTGGCACCTGGCCTAGATTCCAGTTTTTTTTTTTTTTTTTTTTTTTTTTTTTTTTTTTGAGACGGAGTTTCGCTCTTGTTACCCAGGCTGGAGTGCAATGGCACGATCTCGGCTCACCGCAACCTCCGCCTCCTGGGTTCAGGCAATTCTCCTGCCTCAGCCTCCTGAGTAGCTGGGATTATAGGCACGCGCCACCATGCCCAGCTAATTTTTTGTATTTTTAGTAGAGACGGGGTTTCACCATGTTGACCAGGTTGGTCTCGATCTCTCGACCTTGTGATCCACCCGCCTCGGCCTCCCAAAGTGCTGGGATTACAGGCTTGAGCCACCGCGCCCGGCCTAGATTCCAGTTTTAATGGCCCCTTGTTTGTTTTCAGGACCTGGGTGAATTTTTTTTTTTTTTTTTTTTGAGGCGGAGTTTCGCTCGTTACCCAGGCTGGAGTGCAATGGCGCGATCTCGGCTCACCGCAACCTCTGCCTCCCCGGTTCAGGCAATTCTCCTGCCTCAGCCTCCTGAGTAGCTGGGATCACAGGCATGCGCCACCATGCCCAGCTAATTTTTTGTATTTTTTTTTTTTTTTAGTAGAGACGGGGTTTCACCTCGTTGACCAGGATGGTCTCGATTTCTTGACCTCGTGATCCATCCGCCTTGGCCTCCCAAAGTGCTGGGATTGCAGGCTTCAGCCACTGTGCCCGGCCGACCTGGGTGAATTTCTAACTGGGGTATAAGGTATAAGGCTAATGGCAAAAGTTGTTTCCTAGTATCTACAGTCCTGCTAAAATTTAAGTGATAATCTATGTATTAATTGCTTTACAGTCATCTGGAATGCTTATTAAAAATTTAGATTTCTTTACAGATTAGTCATGCTTTCTGGGGATGAACTTGGAAAAGCATTTTTAACAAACCCACAGATATTTGAGAATCCCTGTAGTAAGGACTTGGCAACTAGGCTGACCTCCAAATGTACAGATTGAGCATCCGAAATTTGAATTGCTCCAAAATTAGAAACTTTTCGAGTGCTGATATGACACTCAAAGGAAATGCTCATTGGAGCATTTTGATTTTTCCATTAGAGATAGTCGACTTGTAGTTTCCTTATAGAAGGTTATTGATAACCAAAAGGATTAATAATCAGTGTGATTGTTATTATTCATTACCCACCATATTGTAAGACATAGAGGTGGGATGTTATTATGTAACTGAAGGAAACCCTTAAGTTTTATTTAACTGTCTAGTTTTTTTATTATACACTATGGACCTATATATTTTCTTTTAAAAATATTTATCATCATGCATTTTTAAAAAATGGGACCATCAGACTCTCTTCTCCTTTTTAATATTAAAATTAAAGGAAGGGTCTAGCTTTTTATTTACAAGTTTATAGTACTTGTCTGTTAATGAACACTTCCATGTAGTGTTAAACCAGTCTAAAGAAATACCTTCTGTAGTGCACATTTCTGGATCCATATTTCATCTTTTTTTTTTTTTTTTTTTTGAGATGGAGTCTCACTCTGTCACCCAGGCTGGAGTGCAATGGCGAATCTTGGCTCACTGCAACCTCCGCCTCCCACGTTCAAGCGATTCTCTTGCCTCAGCCTCCTGAGTAGCTGGGATTACAGGCAGGCGCCACTATGCCCAGCTAATTTTTTGTATTTTTAGTAGAGACAGGGTTTCAACATCTTGGCCAGGCTGGTCTTGAACTCCTGACCTCGTGATCTACCTGCCCCGGTTTCCCAAAGTGCTATAATTACAGGCGTGAGCCACCTCACCCCACTGTTTTCCATATTTCATTTTTAAGGTATTAAATCCTTTGTGTAAGTTCAAAGTAGTTTTTTATACCCTTTGTTTTTCTCTGTTGAGATACGAAGGCACTTGCTCTTTCACATGTTGTTATTCATGTTAAAATTAAACAAATCTCCTACAGCATTTGAATTTCTAGTCATTTTGTACATAAAAGTATGCCTTAAATTTTGTTTATATTTAGACCCTAAGGAAATAAATAGCTTTATAAACTGACTTTCCTTTAATTCGTTCCCTTTTAGAAAGAAACAATTGAGTTAAGTCCTACTGGTCGACCAAAACGGCGAACTAGAAAATCAATAAATTACAGCAAAATAGATGATTTCCCTAATGAATTGGAAAAATTGATGAGTCAAATACAGCCAGAGGTGGACCGAGAAAGGTGTGAATTTGAAAATGAATTTAAGTATTCTTTAAACTGTGGTCATCTTTTGCATCTCATATATATGCATTATTTGTTTTGGTAGAGCTGTTGTGGAAGTGAATATCCCTGTAGAATCTGAAGTTAATCTGAAGCTGCAGAATATAATGATGCTACTTCGTAAATGTTGTAATCATCCGTATTTGATTGAGTATCCTATAGACCCTGTAACACAAGAGTTTAAGGTGAGTACTCTTTAGTATTAATTTACTGTTTGATTTCTATAGCTTTTATATTGGCAGAAAGTGTTATTTTGTTTTGATTATCATTATTAGAAATAAGTATGGTGCTATTTGTCAGGAAGATTGTAATCCTTCAGTAAGCTGAGACAGTCTTCTCCCTGAAATTTCAGAGAACCTTATCAGGGTTAGAATAATGGTTACTTTATATGAGCAACAATGGTGACCTTCTATGAGCAACTAGTTTAAAAAATTTTTTAATTTTTTTATAGAGACAGGGTCTTGCTATGTTTCTTAGGCTGGTCTCAAATTCCTGGTTTCTCAGGCAATCCTACCTCAGCCTATTTCATGTGAACAGCTAAGAATTGTAAATTTAGTAAAGTAATTGATTTGTATTCTGCATATTTACTTGCTGTATTTTAGAGAGAGTGGTCTTTTTACTATTTCTTCTATCATTAATATTTGGCTTATCAGAATCAGCCTGGTTGCTCATTGCTTGATGATTGACAGATCTCCATGAAAGAAAACCAATTTTGATTTGGAGGTTTTCAAATTAAATAAATGAAGTTGCTTTCTTGGGTAGCTGATAGAAAGTTAGGATAATATTAAAAGAAATAAATTCTCAGTGACTCTCTATAACCCTTGTTTCAAAGTAGTTTACAATAGACTTTTCCAGTCCTGGCAGTATTGACATTTTGGGTCAGATAATTCTTTTCCTGTGCACTTAGAACATTTAGCAGCATCCCTGTCTTCTACCCACTAGATGTCAGTAGTATCCACTAACCTCAGTTGTGACAACTAAAAATTTTGCTGCCCCTGACAAATACACCCTGGGGATAGGTGAAGGGTAAAATTGTCCCCATTTGAGAACCACTGCTCTACATCTTTATTAGAGTAAGAAAGAAGATAAAATTTTGCTGTGCAAATGAAAGTAGATCTCTGATGAGGTAATTTCAGCAGATGGTGAAAAAGTCTTTATCCACAATATTTAGATTACTTAGCAGCTCCTGTGTTTTCTCTTAATTTCTGGTAAGAGTTCTAGAGCAGTTTTCATGTATGTTTAGTTGGAAATTACTCAATTATAAAGAATAAACCTGAATAGGTACTTAGTAAGATTGAACTTAATTGTTCTCTTTCACAATGACTTTGACAGAGGAATGTTGAGGTTAGGAGCAAAGTTATATTTGTACTTAATTTTGTTTTTGTGAAATGCTGGTTTTACATTCTAGAGTGTGTCTTTCTTTGAGAAATAACTATCTTTTGATTTATAAAGATTGAATAACAGATCAATTTTTACTTTTTTTAATGTGACTTGCTGTTGAAAATTGAACTATTCAAATGGCTTTTGTTTTGACAAAGCAAATGACAGTTTTCTCTGTTTTTCTTTCTTTGCTCATTTTTAAGATCGATGAAGAATTGGTAATAAATTCTGGGAAATTCTTAATTTTGGATCGAATGCTGCCAGAACTAAAAAAAAGAGGTCACAAGGTGGTACTTTTGATTGGAATTTTAGATTGTTCATTTTTTTAAAAAAATAATCATTATAGATACTAAGATGTGTTTAAATTTCAGGTGCTGCTTTTTTCACAAATGACAAGCATGTTGGACATTTTGATGGATTACTGCCATCTTAGAAATTTCAACTTTAGCAGGCTTGATGGGTCCATGTCTTACTCAGAGAGAGAAAGAAATGTAAGCTTATGTCATTCGTACCAAACTATTCTTTAATAACTTCCATCTTGATTTCTGAAGTAATATTCTAAATAGACCCACAAATTGTTAAAAAGATAGAAATGACCAGAAACCCTGTGGTTTTATCAAAAACAAACATTTTGGTTTAGTACTAAGAAATCTTAAGTTTTGATTCTCAAATCTATTTATTTTCTGGCACAATCTTATTAATAATATCCTACTTAACCATCACTGTAAGAAAATTGGGATAGCAGGAAATTTTTTGGCTAACTTTTTGACCTGTCCCCAACTTTCTGTTATGAAAATAACAAATATATGCCATAGTTGAAAAAAAATGTACAGTAAGCAACTATAAATCCACCTACAGTTCTGCTGCTAACATTTGACTGTACCCTCCTTTTTTTGAGACAAGAGTCTCGCTCCGTCGCCTAGGCTGGAGTGCGGAATGGCACAATCTTGGCTCACTGCAACCTCTGCTTCCCAGGTTCAAGCGATTTTCTTGCCTGAGCCTCTCAGGTAGCTGGGATTACAGGCGCATACCACCACTCCTGGCTAATTTTTGTATTTTTTAGAAGAGACTGGGTTTCACCATATTGGTCAGGCTAGTCTCGAACTCTTGACCTCAGGTGATCTCTTGCCTCTGCCTCCCAAAGTGCTGTGATTACAAGCATGAGCCACTGTGTGTGGCCTTGACTGTACCTTTTTTTTTTTTTTTTTTTTTTTTTTTTTTTGAGACAGAGTTTCGCTCTTGTTACCCAGGCTGGAGTGCAATGGCACGATCTCGGCTCACCGCAACCTCCGCCTCCTGGGTTCAAGCAATTCTCCTGCCTCAGCCTCCCGAGTAGCTGGGATTACAGCCACGCGCCACCATGCCCAGCCAATATTTTGTATATTTTCAGTAGAGACGGGGTTTCACCTTGTTGACCAGGATGGTCTCGATCTCTCGACCTCGTAATCCATCCACGTCGGCCTCCCAAAGTGCTGGGATTACAGGCTTGAGCCACTGCACCCGGCCGACTGTACCTTTTTAAAAACACATTCCTGGGCCGGGCACGGTGGCTCACGCCTATAATCCCAGCACTTTGGGAGGCCGAGATGGGTGGATCACGAGGTCAAGAGACCATCCTGGTCAACATGGTGAAACCCCGTCTCTACTAAAAATACAAAAATTAGCTGGGCATGGTGGCGCACGCCTGTAGTCCCAGCTACTCGGGAGGCTGAGGCAGGAGAATTGCTTGAACCCAGGAGATGGAGGTTGCGGTGAGCTGAGATCGCGCCATTGCACTCCAGCCTGGGTAAGGAGCGGAACTCCGCCTCAAAAAAACAAACAAACAAACAAAAAAAACCACATTCCTGTAATAGCCTGGCTGTATCCTTTCAACATTTCATCCCATTTTTTTGATACATTTTTAAATAAATTACAGGTAATACTACCCTTTTTTGTAACGACTTCAGCATATTTTATCTTTTAGGGTAAATTTTATACCTCATGAAGCAAATAATGTATACATTTGCTGAATCTTTCCTTATATCAATTTGTCCCCAACCCCTATTAAGATATACAATGTTAGCATCAGCCCAGAAAATTTCCTATGCCCTCCTCTAGTCAATTCACCCTTTCCACTCACCCCGTGTATTAGGCACCAGCTAATAATTTTTCATCTTTTTTTTGATACTAGCTTTTCTTCAACGTTGTGACAAATGGTTTTTAACAAAATTAAGGTCTCTTTAGTAATGTAGGTGCTTGGACGCTAAAGGTAACATGAGCATAGGTTTTGTTAGTTAACATGATTGTTTTATGGATCGGAATGATTTGTTTGCCCTTCTTTGGTTAAGTCATTAACAGTTATAATCGAAAACATTTTTCTCCTTCAGTCTTGTTGGTTAGTTTCTTTTAATTTGTTGTGTTTTTATCCTTTTTACTTTTAGATGCATAGCTTTAACACGGATCCAGAGGTGTTTATCTTCTTAGTGAGTACACGAGCTGGTGGCCTGGGCATTAATCTGACTGCAGCAGATACAGTTATCATTTATGATAGTGATTGGGTAAGTTGGAAGCAATATACTGATTGTATTTCCATTTTGAATTTTTTTTTTTTTTTGAGACAGAGTGTCGCTATGTTGCCCAGGCTGGAGTGCAGTGGCACGATCTTGGCTTACTGCAACCTTCACCTCCCAGGTTCAAGTGATTCTCTTTCTCAGCTTCCCAAGTAGCTGGGACTGTAGGTGCGTGCCACCATGTGTATTTTGTGTGTGTGTGTGTGTGTGTGTGTGTGTGTGTGTGTGTGTGTGTGTGTAATTTTTGTATTTTCAGTAGAGACGGGGTTTTGCCATGTTGGCCAGGCTAGTCTCGAACTCCTGACCTCAGGTGATCCACCCACCTTGGCCTCCCAAAGGGCTGGGATTATAGGTGTGAACCACCACACCTGGCCATTCTGTATTTTTGATCTTTAATTGTACACATTGCAAATGTATTTATCTGTTTTGAAAAGATACCCATTTTCAGTTAAGAGTTATTTCTTCATAAAGTTTTCTGTGTGTAAAAACTTGACTTTTTTTTTTTTTTTTTTTTTTTTTGAGACAGGGTCTTACCTTGTCACTCAGGCTTGACTGCAGTGGCACCATCACAGATTACTAGTCTTGACCTTTTGGATTCAAGTGATCCTGCCACCTCATCCTCTTGAGTAGCTGAGTCTATGGCTGTGTGCTGCCATGTCCACAAAAAATGTAAAAATTAGGGAGACATGTCTCACTGTTTTGCCCAGGCTGGTCTTGAGCTTTGATCCTCACATGATCTTCCTGCCTTGGCCTTCCAAAATGCTGAGATTATAGGAGTGAGTCACCATGCCCAGCCTGAAATGGTTTCTTTGAGTATTTAAACTTTTTTGTTATGGTTGCCGTTGATCTCTGGAATGATAATTTTATCTATGAAGCCACTCTGGAAGTTTAAGACACCACTTTTTAAAAGTTCCTGACTGGATCATTGATGTTAGTTTTATCCACACATTATGCGTTTATGTTAATTTTAACCTAATGCTGTTAAATTTTATTTTTCTTTTTAACTTTAAGAACCCCCAGTCGGATCTCCAGGCCCAGGATAGATGTCATAGAATTGGTCAGACAAAGCCAGTTGTTGTTTATCGCCTTGTTACAGCAAATACTATTGATCAAAAAATTGTGGAAAGAGCAGCTGCTAAAAGGAAACTGGAAAAGTTGATCATCCATAAAAGTAAATAACACTTATATAGTACTTTATTGTTTAAATTGTGCATTGTGTGTTGTGGATTTTTGTAATTTGTTTTTATTTTCTTTATAAAATGTTAGAATCTGATATGACAGGATTTAAATAAGCAGTGGAGAATTTGGAGCTGCTAATAACCTAAACTAGTTACCATAGACATAAAAGAAAGAATGTTACTGTGTATGCAGATGAAGAGCAGATGGGCAGAGAAAAGGGATCAAGGATAATTACCTGTTCCTGATAAGACATCGGTCTGCTAAAAGGTTTAAGATAAATCTTTTGCAATTTCTATATATTAAATATAATATTAAAATATTAATAGTGTATTTAGTGCTATTAAAATCAATTTATTTTTTGAATCCAGTATTTTACAGAATATTTCACTGCAGAATGCCCTTTTCATAGTTTGGGACACTTTTCCCCTTTTTCTTTTCCTTATACCCAGATTGATCTCAATAATGCTTTTTAATCTAGAAAAAATTCTGAGGCGGTGGGGTGAGTTTTTATGTTTTGTTCCCTGAGATTCCTTAGAGAAGTTCTGCTTCTATCCATTCAACATAAAATTTTGCTTGAATGAATGGCTTGATAGCTACGTGAAGAAAAATTGAAAATCATTTATGTAAATCATAAAGCCTAGAAAAATAGAACATGATAATATTAATGTGAAAAGTAATGTCAGAAGTAACAATTTATGCTCATTTTCCACTTGGAAATGCTTTTTCTGGGTTTTGAGGAAAGAGTGGATTAAGGTTTAGACACAATTAATTTGACTTGATGAAACATTTAGATTATAATTGGAATTAGAGAGGAAAAAAAGCATAATTTTTTTTTTTTAAGAGACTATTTCACTGTTTTACCCAGGTTGCTTTTGAATACCTGGGCTCAAGCAATCTTCCTGCCTCAGCCTCTCTAAGTGTTGAGATTATAGGTGTGAACCACTGTGCTCAGCCCTATTTTTAGTTTTTTTGGTAGATTAATTTAGTAGAAAATTTTGAAGGCATTTTTTGAAATGTTGACATTTTTTAGTTGAGGTATTATATACATATAGTTAAATGCACAGATCTTAAATGTACAGATTAGTGAATTTTGACCAGGTGTATATACTCAGGTAACTGTCATTCAGTTCAAGGTAACATTTTCATCATCCAAGAAATTTTCTTTATTCACCCTTTCCAGTTATTCCTGTACTCCCATTACCATCATTAGAAAGCATCCAGTATTCTGATTTTTGTCAAATTGATGAGTTTTTTCCTTGTTTAGCTACTTTGTTGAATTTATTTTTTTCAGAGTCATCTATGTTGTTTCTTTTAGAATTTTTTTTTTTTTGATTGGTGAATAGTTTGTTGTTCCATTCTTCTGTTGGTCTGCATTTAAATTATTTCCAGATTCTGATTATTATGAATAAGCTGTTCCTGTACAAGTCTCTGTAGACATAATGCATTTTTTTGGTTCTTGGTCGTCTTTAGGAGGGTGCGTATTTAATTACTAGAAACTACCAACCTTTTCAAAAGTGGCCATAACTATTTTCCACTTCTCCCAGCAAAGTCTGAGAGTTTCAGTTGCTTTTATTCCTTATCAGCACTTGTTTTTTCCCATTCTTCTTAATGCAAGCCATTGTGATTGCTTTGTAGTATACTGTATTGTAGTTTTAAAAGGAATTTTAATGTTTTTAATTTCTCATTTTTTTTTTTTAGATCATTTCAAAGGTGGTCAATCTGGATTAAATCTGTCTAAGAATTTCCTAGATCCTAAGGAATTAATGGAATTATTAAAATCTAGAGATTATGAAAGGTGAGTTTTTAATTTTAGAAAGATTTAATTTGTAGCGTTGAGTTATTCACGTGGACTTGAATGTTTTGTTTTCTATAGGGAAATAAAAGGATCAAGAGAAAAGGTCATTAGTGATAAAGATCTAGAATTGTTGTTAGATCGAAGTGATCTTATTGGTAAGTATCATGCTTTTTCTTTTTTAATGGAAATTTTGAAATATACACATAATTAGAGTAGTATAATGAACCCCTTGTACAATTTATTCAGCCATACATATCCAATCTTGTTTCATTGCCATTTTCTTCTTAATATTATAATCAAATAATCTGACATAATGACAGTTTGCTGATAAATGTCATTATCTTTAACTTCTTCCTTAATTCAGATATTTTTTGTAAACTGATAAATAACAATTTTGTAAATATATTCAAGTTCCTATCTTAGTCAAGAATACCAGTGCTTTGTTCTCATATTTTTTGTCTCATACCAGGAGGCACATCATGTCTGGGTTTCTTATTTCTGTGAGCTAAAATTAATCAAGATAATAAATATTAAGTGTCTTCTCAGCCTTTATTTAACATGATGATTTCCTTTTTCTCTTTTTTTGGAGATGGTGTCTGTCACTCTGTTGCCAGGCTGGAGTGCAGTGATGTGATCTCGGCTCACTGCAGCCACCGCCTCCTGGGTTCAAGTTGTTCTCTTGCCTAAGCCTCCTAAGTAGCTGAGATTACAGGTGCCCACCACCATGCCTGGCTAATTTTTTTGTATTTTTTGTAGAGGCCAACATTTTACCATGCTGGCCAGGCTGGTCTTGAACTCCTGACCTCAGGTGATCTGGCCACCTCAACCTCCCAAAGTGCTGGGATTACAGGCATGAGCCACCTAGTGTGACCTAATGTGATGATTTTTAGCATCCCTTCATGATGGTTGATTAGAACAATTAATTTAATTATTTCAAAATGGTGATTTTCATGTTCTGTCATTCCTTTATTAACTGGGTTATTCAAGAACTTTCCCTTAGAGTTTTCCTGAGATAGAGGAGAGGCAGGATAGATTGCTTGTTTTATTTATCAGCTTTTAGAATGCCATGTAATAATGATCTGATGCCTGCAGTAATGACCATGAATACAAAAATAACATTTTGTATTTCATAATTTCCTAATTATTTTGCAACATATTGCTATCATCTAGGCTATCGATTATTTTTCTGTTGCATCTGTATGGTGGAAATACTGTATAATGTTCTTCTTTTCCCAACTGTATTGTGACATTGATCTTTTGAAACTGGTGATGGCAGTAATGTTCATATTATAGATACAGACAAAAACTACAAACCTGAGTCTTTGTTTTTTTTTTTTTTTTTTTTTGAGACAGAGTTTTGCTCTTGTTACGCAGGCTGGAGTGCAATGGCACGATCTCAGCTCACCGCAACCTCTGCTTCCTGGGTTCAAGCAATTCTCCTGCCTCAGCCTCCCTAGTAGCTGGGACTACAGGCGTGCGCCACCATGCCCAGCTAATTTTTGTATTTTTAGTAGAGACGGGGTTTCACCATGTTGACCAGGATGGTCTCGATCTCTTGACCTCGTGATCCACCCGCCTCAGCCTCCCAAAGTGCTGGGATTACAGGCGTGAGCCACCGCGTCCGACGAGTCTTTGTTTTTAACAAAAAAGGGTCTTGCTTTGTATCCCTAGCTGGAGTGCAGGAACTCAACTATAGCTCATTGCAGCCTGAAACTCCTAGGCTCTTGGGACTCTCCAGAGTCTTTGTTTTTAACAAAAAAGGGTCTTGCTTTGTATCCCTAGCTGGAGTGCAGGAACTCAACTATAGCTCATTGCAGCCTGAAACTCCTAGGCTCTTGGGACTCTCCAGCATCAGCCTCAGGAGTAATCTGGGATTGTAGACATGAGCCATTGTTCCTGGGTTTTTTTTTTTCTTTTGAGAGCCAATTGTTAAACATGTATCTGCATGGCACTGGGTACAGTGTCATAATACTGTATTTTCAAATACGTTATTCATTTAAAAATTCAATTCTATGTCTTATTGAATCAAAATAATATTAAAATATATGTAGTAAGAAGTTTTTTTTTAATTAGATACATTTTCCAAATGTTTCTTCCCCTCTGTGGACTCTCTCTTCATTTTCTTATTTAGTATTTTCTGAAGAGCAAAAGTTTTACATTTTGTTGAATTCCAGTTTTGACAAATTTTTCTGGTAACTCATGACTTTTGTGTCATCTCTAACTACTCTTTGCCTAATGCCGCCGGTCTTGATGCTTTCTTTTTAACAGTTTTATAGTTTTTGGTCTTACATTTAGGTCTGTGATTTATTTTCAGTGAATTTTAATCATTTTGCATGTCAATATCCATTTTTTAAAAAGGTGATTCTTTTTCTTTTGGATTGCTTTGTCATCCTTGATGAAAATCATTTGATCATAAACATAAAGTTTATTTCTGTATTCTCAATTCTGTCCCATTGATCTCTGTGATATTTCTATACCAGTATTGCACTGACTTAAGGTAGCTTTGTGGGAAGTATACTTTGTCTAGTTTTGTTCTTTTTCAAGATCGTTTTAGATATTCTGGATAATTCGTATGTTTATTTGAATTTTAACTTTGAAATAGTTTAGGAAGAAATATGGGAAAAATAGCATGGTCATATCTCAGATATACTAAAAGTCAACATTATATAATGTGTGTAAGACTGTTTAACATCTGAAAATATTAATATGATTCATATTAATTAAAAGGAGAACTAGATGATCACATAATTAGGTACCAGAACCCAACTTGACATAACATTATAATCATCTTAATAATTTTTTTTGGTTTGAGATGAGGCATTGTTCTGTCATTGAGGCTGGAGTGCAGTGATGTGATCACGGCTCGCTGCAGCTTGAACCTGCTGGGCTCAGTCTGTTCTCACACCTCAGCCTCCTGAGTTGATGGGACTACAGTTGTGACTACTACGCCCTGCTAATTTTGTTTTGTTTATTTTGTAGAGATGGGTTTGCCCTGTTGCCCAGGCTGGTCTCACACTACTGGGCTCAAGTGATCTTCCTGCCTCAGCCTCCCAAAGTGCTGGGATTACAGGCATGAGCCCCTGTGCCTGACCCCATAATGCTTAAAACTAGCTGTGGAGAGCAAAGTTCTTCTGGTGATAAAGAATATTCATATAGAAAACGACTAAAATGAGGATAAAATCTCTCTCTTTCGCTGTAATTATACAATGTGGAAAAGATGTCTTAACTAATACCGTAAGATTAAAAAACAAAAAAAGAATCTAAATTGTTTTATTTGCAGGTGGTCTGATTTGATTATCTTCATAGGAAGTCCAAGGAAATTCAGAATCTTTTAAGATAGAATTTAAGAAGATTGCTTGTTAATAATATGTGTAACAACAATAGTTATTTAATAATGAAGGGTTTTACAACAGCTACAAAACTGTAGCATGCCTACAATTAAGTTTTAACAATTTTTGCCGGGCACGGTGGCTCAAGCCTGTAATCCCAGCACTTTGGGAGGCCGAGGCGGGTGGATCACGAGGTCGAGAGATCGAGACCATCCTGGTCAACATGGTGAAACCCCGTCTCTACTAAAAATACAAAAAATTAGCTGGGCATGGTGGCACGTGCCTGTAATCCCAGCTCCTCAGGAGGCTGAGGCAGGAGAATTGCCTAAACCCAGGAGGCGGAGGTTGCGGTGAGCCGAGATCGCGCCATTGCACTCCAGCCTGGGTAACAAGAGCGAAACTCCGTCTCAAAAAAAAAAAAAAAAAAAAAAAAAAAGTTTTAACAATTTTTAACACATTTATATAAGGACAGAATTATGAAACATTGAAGGACATTAACTGAAAGACTAAATAAACATACAGGTTTAACTCTATTTGTGGATATGAATGGTTATTACAAAGTGTAAGTCAATGTTCCCCAAAACTAACTTACATTCTTGAATTTTTCTTCTAATTAAAATCCCAGAATCATGGCTGGGTGTGGTGGCTCACGCCTGTAATCCTGGCACTTTGGGAGGCAGAGGTGGGTGGATTGCATGAGCTCAGGAGTTCAAGACTAGCCAGGGCAACACTGTGAAACCTTGTCTGTACTAAATACAAAAAATTAGTTGGGTGTGGTGGTGGGCACCTGTAATCCTAGCTACTCAGAAGGGTGAGGCAGAATTGTCAGAACCCAAGAGGCAGAGGTTACAGTGAGCCGAGATTGTGCCACTGCACTCCAGTCTGAGTGACCGAAGGAGACTGTTTCTTAAAAAAAAAAAAGAAAAATCCAAAAATGACTTTTTATAGAACAGACTGTTGTTAAAATTTATTCGAAAGAGTAGTAAAAGGCCAAAATCCAAGACAGTTTTGAAGAACAAGATATTTTATACCAGGTATAACATCTTATTAAAAATTAAAAAGTCATAATCAAGATGGTAGAATTAGCACATGATAGGATAAATTAACTAGAGGTACAATATGGCGAACCTAGAAAGACTACCAAACTTTCATGAAAAACTAATAAATGACAAATGACATTTCAAACCAGAGATAGGAAATTCCTATTAATCAATAGATTATCTTGGGAAATGGTAATGAATAGGGGAAAATTAACTTAGATTCTCCTCACCTCACACTGTACTTAAAAACTTCAGATAAATTAGCAATTCATATGTTCAAAACCTAAGTATTAAAGGTAAAATTTTAACTTAAAAATATATTTATGATTTTGGGATTAGGAAAGAATTCCTTTGAATACAGAAATCACAAATTATATGACAGTTTTTATGTATTTTAATTACATTAATAGGAAAGACTGCTGTATGACATGACACCATAAACAGACAAATCACAGAATTTTTGCACCATATAACAGGAAGTGTTTAGGATATGCAAATAAATAAAAGTTGATAATAAAAATGGATAATATAAGAGGAAGCTATTATCAAGAGAGAAATCTTTCATGAACATACAAGGATGATTAGAAATCAATAATACAAATTAAAATCGGTAGAAATTTGATTTCACAGCTGTCATGTTGATAAAGATTTTAAGAGACTACATATTGTCATCGATTAAAAATGTTTCTCGGCCGGGCGCGGTGGCTCAAGCCTGTAATCCCAGCACTTTGGGAGGCCGAGGCGGGTGGATCACGAGGTCAAGAGATCGAGACCATCCTGGTCAACATGGTGAAACCCTGTCTCTACTAAAGATACAAAAAAAAAATTAGCTGGGCATGGTGGCACGTGCCTGTAATCCCAGCTACTCAGGAGGCTGTGGCAGGAGAATTGCTTGAACCCAGGAGGCGGAGGTTGCGGTGAGCCGAGATGGCGCCATTGCACTCCAGCCTGGGTAACAAGAGCGAAACTCCGTCTCAAAAAAAAAAAAAAAAAAAAAAATGTTTCTCAAGGTAAGCTTTTGGTGTTTTGCTCTTCAGCTTTTAAACTAACCATGATTGGGCCTATTTTTAAAACATTTCTGAGAACATGATTCAAATTCATGTTGTTTATTGCTCTTCAACTTATTTATCTTACAGCTTAAATTCAGCAAAAGAGATTTTGACTAGCAAACTCACGCTTTAGATTGTATGCTCCCAAGAGGCTGATTCTAGTTGTTGTATTAAGAATAGTGTACCTTTTTGCTTTTGCTGCGATTAAATCCTGGTAATAAAGGAAGAGCATGCCCTATATTACTGTGAGTTTTATAATTTTGGACTGAGGACTCACTTCTCATAGCATCATATTGAATGTTTCTTTTGTGATTTCTCCTTATCCTTCTAAACTGTTCCTGTGTTAATGTTTTTCTCTTAGATCAAATGAATGCTTCAGGACCAATTAAAGAGAAGATGGGGATATTCAAGATACTAGAAAATTCTGAAGATTCCAGTCCTGAATGTTTGTTTTAAACTGGAGCCCAAGAATGGCTTTTAAAAGTTCTTGTTTGCAGCTAGTGATTTCCCTGTATTGGGTTTGAAATACAGATTGTCCGTTTAACCTTTTTTATTATATCAGTTGACATGTAACTAGTACCATGTGTACTTAATTAGATGGCAATTTTCTGAGCCTTATTACAAACAAAGAAGTATCCATATTAAGTTTAGATTTTCAGTTAATTTTTGAGACTGAGTATTATTCTTGGATACAGGCCGATGTGTACTTAACCACTTCCAGATGTATACAGTCTTCCTGTGGAAGTTTAGTAAATGTCTTTTCTTCTAGTAATACAGTTCATGGGGTTTTGGTACTTCAGTTATGAAGTAGGCTCTTCATGGGGGTAGATCGGGATAATGCTGTCTGTTGTTTAAGAAACTTTGATTTTCAAGTCTTATTTCTATGAGATAGGTTACCAAATTTTCCTTATAAGATAATCTCATTAAAATACTTTTAGGCATAGCTTAGTACAATAGCAGCAAAAGATCGACTCTTGGTGGGATTTGATATTATTTTGTTGTCTTGGTTTCATTCACTAGTACTATCAGAGTGTGTCATAAAGATTTCAAGTGGATATTCTGTTAGCACAAGAGAAATTTCTGAATGAAACTGTAGGGTCTTGACAAAAGAATAGAAATTGGAAATGGGGCCGGGCACGGTGGCTCAAGCCTGTAATCCCAGCACTTTGGGAGGCCGAGGCGGGTGGATCACAAGGTCGAGAGATCGAGACCAACCTGGTCAACATGGTGAAACCCCGTCTCTACTAAAAATACAAAAAATAAGCTGGGCATGGTGGCGCGTGCCTATAATCCCAGCTACTCAGGAGGCTGAGGCAGGAGAATTGCCTGAACCCAGGAGGCGGAGGTTGCGGTGAGCCGAGATCGCGCCATTGCACTCCAGCCTGGGTAACAAGAGCAAAACTCCATCTCAAAAAAAAAAAATTGGAAATGGTAGTATATAATGCGAAACAAGGCAGACCCTGAAAATTTATAGTAGTGGGTTAAACAGAACCAGATAGAAGAGAACAGGCCTTAGGAGTATGTAAGTAATGCAGAATCCATAATAGAACAACACAAAAGCCAAAATGGGCACAGTTTAGACCCTGTGTGAAAGGATATCAGACAATGAGGAAGAGAAATCCTGAATGTACCCTGGAGAGGGGACATACTCCCTGGACCATGCGTTTCTGTGCTGGCGTTTATTTCATGGAAAAATGTTACTGTTGTTGCCATATATATTCATATGCAGACCAGATGATCTGCGACTTAGGAAAATGGAACTGTCACTTAAGAAAAACTTTAAAAAGTTTTTTCTGTGCCATGTTTACACAGGTCTTTCTTCTTTTAAATTTTTTTTTTTTTTGAGACGGAGTTTCGCTCTTGTTACCCAGGCTGGAGTGCAATGGCGCAATCTCGGCTCACCGCAACCTCCGCCTCCCGGGTTCAGGCAATTCTGCCTCAGCCTCCTGAGTAGCTGGGATTACAGACACGCACCACCTTGCCCAGCTAATTTTTTGTATTTTTAGTAGAGATGGGGTTTCACCATGTTGACCAGGATGGTCTCGATCTCTTGACCTCGTGATCCACCCGCCTCGGCCTCCCAAAGTGCTGGGATTACAGGCTTGAGCCACCGCGCCTGGCATTTAAATTTTTATTTCAGTAGTTTTTAGGGTACTTCTGGTTTTTGGTTACGTGGATAAGTTCTTTGGTGATGGTGAAAAATTTTTGATAGAACATTTGGTTAAACAAAAGACTATAGAGCAGGTTTATTTGTTTAAGTGAAAATGTTTACCCATCACATCAGCATGCTGACCTAGGCTTGCTTGAAATTCATGATCTTGTCATTAGTGATCTAGTCTTTCCTCTTACATTGTCCTAAATGACTATTTCATAGTTTTATCTCTGTCATTATATGTCTCATATCTCTTTCCTCTCATTTTGCTCCCTATTTCCGTGAGAAAATAGATGCAATCAGAAAGGAAACTTTAAAAGTTGTCACCATTGGATCTGTAAACCTAGCATCTATGCCTATCTGTCCTTTCTTACATACTATGGATATATTGTTATGTCTTAGCTTGAGCCAACTGAAATATCTCATTTCTTTTATAGCAAAACTTCTTGAAAAAAAGAGTTCTATTATAGCAAAATTGCTTGTCTGTATTCATTGTTTTTAGTTTATTCTGTTTTTTTCCTAAACCCATTCCTGTAAGATATTTGTCTCCATTGGAGCCATTTTTTTTTAAGGTCTCTTGTGGCAGCAGTGATCTCATTTCACTTGATCTATTAGCAGCATTTCATATGATTGACTCTTCTCCATAAAAGTTACTTTGTTTGGCTCCTAGCAAACATATTTGCCTGATTTTTCTCCATATTTCTCTGGCTCTTTCTGAGTTTCCTTTGCTGTTTCCTTTTCTGTCCTTGAAACATTGGAATGTCCTAAGCCCATTTTGTGATTCTCTTGATGGTCTTACTTCATTTCTTTAATACGAACTATGCTGATGACTCAGATTTATATCTTCAGCCAGAACCTTTCTCTTGAATTCTAGATTCACGTATCCAACTGCTTACTAGGTGCTTGATAACTCTATTCTGTATCTGCACTTTGCTTTTTGTTTAATCCAAATTTGCTGCTTTTGCATTTTCCTTAGTTAATAAATGACAACTTTATTCTTCTAATTGTTAGACCTCGGCCTCTCAAAGTGCTGGAATTACAGGCGTGAGCCACCAAGTTCAGCCTACTATCTATAAAGCTCTCCCTGCCATCCACCCATAGTCATTTGAGTCTTCCCTTAGTTTAGCTGAGTGGTTTTTTGTTTTTTTGTTTTTGTTTTTATGGTTCTTCAAATGTCTTGGAATCATTTACTGTTCCTCAAATTTTGAGCAAATGCTTAAAATTACTTAGAAATACCTTCTCTAAAAGTGTGCTTTCCTACCACCTCTCACTACTTCAAACATGAAATAAAGATCCCGTATATCTTTTGACTATAGTTATAAAATAATTTTTGATTGGCTCAGTAGTTACTTTTATCATGGCTGTGTAAGTATTACTAAAGCCATGCTATATGCTATTACTGTCTGGGTGAGGTGGCTTACACCTGTAATCCCAGCGCTTTGGGAGGCCGAGTTGAGTGTGTCAGGAGATAAGACCATCCTGGCCAACATGATAAAACTGCATCTCTACTAAAAATACAAAAATTAGCCAGGTGTGGTGGTGGGCGCCTATAGTCCCAGCTACTCAGGAGGCTGAGGCAGGAGAATTCTCCGTGAACCCAGAAAGCAGAGGTTGCAGTGAGTCGAAGAATGCTATTGTATTTTCATTCTTGTACAGCATTTTTTTTCTCCTGAAGTTAATACTTGCTGTTGTTTTACCTACCTGTAATTTATATCTAAACTCTCTGGAAGTAAACATATCACATGATTCAGTAGTAAATGTCCCCCTGCAAATATATCCTATCTCCTCCACCCCTTGGAACATTGTTTATTCTAGTCTGGACTATAGAACTGATTCCATCTGGAACCTTCCTTTACCATCCTTCTGGGTATTTCTGTTGGGTCTTTCATGGTTTGGAACTACCGTTTACTGGAACACACTCTCTCTTTTTTTTTTTTTGAGACAGAGTGTCGCTCTTGTTACCCAGGCTGGAGAGCAATGGCGCGATCTCGGCTCACCGCAACCTCCGCCTCCTGGGTTCAAGCAATTCTCCTGCCTCAGCCTCCTGAGTAGCTGGGACTACAGGCATGCGCCACCATGCCCAGCTAATTTTTTGTATTTTTAGTAGAGACGGGGTTTCACCACGTTGACCAGGATGGTCTCGATCTCTCGACCTTGTGATCCACCCGCCTCGGCCTCCCAAAGTGCTGGGATTACAGGCTTGAGCCACCGCGCCCGGCCTTCTCTCTTTTTTTTTTTTTTTTTAAAGATGGAGTCTTGCTCTTCTCCCCCAGGCTGGAGTGCAGTGGTACTATTTGGGCTCACTGCAGCCTCTGCTTCCTGGGTTCAAGCGATTGTCCTGCCTCATCCTTCTGATAAGCTGGGATTGCAGGTGCCCGCCACCATGCCCAGCTAATTTTTGTATTTTTAGTAGTTGGGGTTTCACCATGTTGGCCAGGCTGGTCTCAAACTCCTGACCTCAGGTGATCCACCCACCCTGGCCTTCCAAAGTGCTGGGATTAGAAGCATGAACCACCATGCCGGGCTGGATCTCTCTTTTTTTTTCCTTGGTTTACTCCTTTATTTTGATGGATTATGTTGTCCTGTGTTTTCCTGAGAAAAGTATTCAAGGGAAATGAATTTTTTCAGAACTTGAATATCTGGCTGTGTTTTTGTTGTATTCCTACATTTTGATGGATAGTTTTGGTTTGGGATTTTAGATTAATTATTATTTTCTCCTTAGTATTTTTGAAAGTTGTTGTGTTGTCTGAGAACTTGCAGTGTTGTAGGAAAGAAAATTAATGATAACTTTTTATTTTTTTGAGACAGGATCTCATTCTGTCACCCAGGCATGAATATAGCTCACTGTATCCTTGACCTCATGGGCTCGGGTGATCCTCCTGCCTCAGCCACCAATATAGGTTGGACTAAAGCCATGTACCAAATGCCCTGCTAAGTTTTAAATTTTTTTGTGAAGACAGGTTCTCACTATGTTACCCAGGCTGGTCCTCAATTCCTGGGCTCAAGCAGTTCCTCCGCCTCAGCCTCCCAAAGAGCTGGGATTCCAGGTGTGTGCTCTTAGATCTGGCCCTATTGCCACTTTGATTTCTAGTCTGTTGAAGGAAATTTCCTGCCTTTTGTTAATGTGAAATTTTAATGTTTCTTTGTCTTTTATATTCTAAAGTAATAACGCAGTGATGTGTCCTTAAGGATTTTTTCTTTTTTCTTTTTTCTTTTTTTCTTTTTCTTTCTTTCTTTTTTTTAAAATTTTTTGTGAGACAGAGTTTTCATTCTTGTTACCCAGGCTGGAGTGCAATGGCGCGATCTCAGCTCACCGCAACCTCTGCCTTCTGGGTTCAGGCAATTCTCCTGACTCAGCCTCCCGAGTAGCTGGGATTAAAGGCACGCACCACTATGCCCAGATAATTTTTTGTATTTTTAGTAGAGACGGGGTTTCACCATGTTGACCAGGATGGTCTTGATCTCTTGACCTTGTGATCCACCCGCCTCGGCCTCCCAAAGTGCTGGGATTACAGGCGTGAGCCACCGCGCTTGGCCTCTTTTTTCCTTTTTGAGATGGAGTTTTACTCTTGTTGCCTAGGCTGGAGTGCAGTGGCGCCATTTTGGCTCACCACAGCCTCTACCTCCCCTTTGAAGCCATTCTCCCCCAGCCTCCCTACTAGTAGCTGGGATTATAGGCATACACCAACACGCCCAGCTAATTTTGTAGTTAGAGATGGGTTTCTCCATGTTTGGTCATGCTGGTTTCGAACTCCCGACCTCAG